GGGATGGAGCAACTACCCTAAAAAGGCTGCAGCATTTGGGATTTTTCAGTTTAGAGAAAAGGTGGCATGATGGAAGTTTATAAAATTAAGCATGGCATGGAGAAAGTGGATAGACAAAAGTTTTTCTACCTCTCTCAGAACACTAGACCTTTCAGACATCCAGGGAAATTGAAATCTGGAAGATTCAGGACGGGTAAAGGACTTCTTCACGCAGAGCAGAGTTAAACTATGGAACTCACTGCCACAGGAGGCAGTGATGGCTACCAACTTGGATTGCTTTAGAAGATATCAATAACTACTAGCCACAATAGCTATGCTCTGACTCCATAATCAGAGGCAACAATGCTTCTGAATACCAGTTCCTGAAAACCATAGGAGGGGAAAGCGATTTTGTGTTTGGGTCCTGCTTGTGGGCTTCCCATTTGGGGCATATGGATGGCCACTGTGAAAACAGGATGCTGGACTAGATGGGCCACTGGCCTCACCCAGCAGGCTTTGCTTCTGTCCCTATGTTTCTGTGGGAGCAAGGAACAGGTTTTTGTCTCTGTTTAGATGCAATTGGATGCTCTTTTGAATCAAGATGCTGGGGGTTGTATCCGATCAAGTTCTACTCAGAGAAGAATGGACCTTGATTATTTATTTCTATTAATTTCTATATGCCTGTTCTGAGCAGGACTAGCATTGGATGGAACCCTGAACCTTTCAAAATTGCCTTGATTTTAACCACTGAAATCTAAACTACTGTACATTGGGGTGTGGGTGTGTTGTTTTTTTGTTTCTTAGAATTCCCAAACAACACTGGGTACAAGTTGTTAGTCCCTCATAAATTTATTTCAGCCTCTTTTCACCATCAAAGTTGCTCAAGCAAGCTGCCGCAATCTCGTAGCAGGGAGTTCCACAAGCGCGAGGAAGCGCCACCTGAACCTGCCACCCACTGAATGAAGCTGATCGTCTTGCATGACAAGAGAGGGGACAAGGGCACATGGAAATTCCATTCAGTTATTGCAGAACGTCCTGCTTGCTTTTCCCACTCCATACAACATGCCAAATCATCAGCCCTCGCAACTGTGCAGCCGTTGGCTGCAGAAGGGCACCGGAATGCTATCGCTCCATCACACAGCCTCATGCAGTTTCGCAAAGTGGGTGGGTGGAAGCAGAATTGGCCAGGGCACCTGGGAATAGAGCTAAAAACCATTAAGCTCTTCGCAGAGGTAGGTTGGCTGGTGAAACGCCACAGGCAGGGCCAGCTAAATAGTCAGCCTTTTTTAGCTAGTCTTTTTTGTTTTTTAATTGTTAGTTTTTTTAAAGTGTCACAAGACTCTTTGGCAGGGTTTCTCCCCTTCCAAACAATTAGCACAGACGTCGTTCTAGAAATGAAATAGCCAAAGTCTGCAACTATACTTGATAATCAGATGATGCTAATATTCTTTACTTGGAATTTGCTGTTTTAACCCGCGTGCAACTGTACTTATTCTACGTGCCTGTTTCAGTGTTTTGCTTCTCATATTTTATTTTTTATCTTTCATTGTGACCGTTCTCTCTGCATTATAAAATGAAATAAAAAAATATTTACCAAAATATTTTGGTAAAAGAAAGTGAAATAACTGTGAAAATGAACACCATCTATGCACAGACTGTGGGCCATATTCCTACCTCCAAAAAAATTCACATGGCGGCCCCCACTCCCAAAATCTTAAATAGTCAGCATCTCCCCCTTGTATACATCATCTCCCAATCACCCCACTCCTATAGTTACTCTGGATTCTGCAGAGATGCAGTCAGCTGGAAGAAACTGGGGATAAAGAAACAGGATTTAAAAGCACTTTAAAGCACGGCACCAATGGCTGCAGCACGAACAGGAGAAAGCTTTGGAGCAGCGGTAATGGGCAACCTCCAACAGCAAGAGGTTTTGGGTTGCTGTTATCTGAGGTGTTGACAGCAGCGGGGGGGTGTGTGTGTGTGTGTGTGTGTGTGTGTGTGTGTGTTAGAATTCCAGGTGTTTAAACACCTGGACTGCAACACCAGCACTTAAATAATTTGATTTTCTCCCCACCTCAGCCCGACGTATTCTGTTTCGTAAAAAGACGGCTTACTCATGAAAATGCTTATGCCTCTGAATTTCTTTAAATTAGCTGTTTGCTGCAACAGACTTGGCATGGACCAGTTTACCTGCAAGATCACCTTACCATAATACCCATTCTGCATTTGTAAGAAATTGGTCTTTTACTCACAGCACTCCCTGCCTATGAAATCAGGTAGACAGACACCTTCACTGTATTCTTTTTTGTGCCATCTGAATCTTATTTTTTAAATGTTTTAAACAGTACTTTTTAACTCTTTTATTACTGACAATGTTATTATTATTATTTTTGTAAACTGCTTTGAGATTGCTCAGTAATCCACTTCTTGTCCCTTTCTTTTCTGATATAGTTTGGAAACACTTCCTCCAATTGCAAGAGCAATGCTTGGAGCAACTTATTTTTTAAAATAATAATAATAATCAAATCAAATATCCTTTATTAGGCATAGCAAACCACACATTATGAAACAGACACAGTATACAAATTATGCAAAATACAAGCTCAACATAACAAGGTTTGTCCCAGTCAGATCTTTAACTCCAGAGAAAATCAATTTGCATAAATAATACAATACAACCACTAAATCTCTTTATAATGCCCCAGCCTTTCTACATGGACAGCACTCAAAAATTCGGCCACTATTAAAGTAATTTGATCATTACTGTCTGAAAGCAGGTTCTGAACCGTTGGTAGCGTAGAAGTCAGCCTATTTAGTTGTAAGGCCTCTAATAATTGTCTTCTGGCATAAATGCCAAAATCACAAGAAAAGAAAATGTGCTCCAAAGTATCAGGTTCCTGTTTACTACATTTGCAGAGACGTTCTGATTCTGGGAGAGCTAAATATCTTCCTCTCACTATAATCGAGGGAAACATATTAAATCTGGCTAACATAAACATCCTACACAATTCATGATTCTTCAGATTTGTCATGTGACAAACCTTTTTGAAATAATAATAATGAAGTTGCACAACAGACGTGGGGAACTGGATCCAGAGCCCTATTATGCCCCCTTCTACCTGCAGCCCAGGTTTGACAGGTGCCTGATTAAGCCCACAGGCTAGAGGTTGTCAGCCTCTGATCTACAACAACAACAACAACATTACAGGGGGTGGACTAGATGACCCTCCAGTTACCTTCCAACTCTATATTAGGGCTGGGCGATAACTGGTTTTCAATATCATGATATATCACCAGCTAAAAACCACAAAACATCAATATATCACATATCTGAAATAAGGAAGGAACTACACAGAGGCAAACAGGACAATGTCCAGGCAACTGCTACTACTTAAGGGTCTAAAACTGATAAGTGAATTTTCTTCACATAGGCCGACTTTCCGGGCTGCTGAGGAGGCCTGCCAAGGCCGCTGCCTGTCCTGTGCACCCCCTTGGGACCCAATCCCCCTCTGAAAAGCCTCTGCTGCCCCCCAAAGTGGAGTGAGCAGGACAATGGCAGCGCTGTCACCCCGTTTTACCCGCGCATGGCACCAGGAGCAGCTCAGCGTCACCCTGGGTGCTTGGCAGGCCGTCCGTCCTCCCCTTTGCCCCAGTCTCCCCTGCATGAAGATGAAAAGACAGGGGGGAAATAAAAAGGAGCAACAATTAAGACATCAAATATCTCCTTCAAGGTTCCCCCAACTGCCAAACATTTATGTAATGGGGAGCAGAATCGGGAGCAAGGCGGATCTGGATCTCTACACAGACCCAATCCCCCTTCAAAACCGGCCTGTTCTCCACCGGCTCTACCAGCACCTCCAAGACTAGAAAGAATGCCCAGAAGGGCATATGTGCCAATCGTTACGTCAGAGGAAATATTAGAGATACAAGGGGAAAAAATCGACATCATGTTTGAACTGATAAATGATATCATCAATCACCACATGGTCACTTTAAGCGGCAGGCAAGCCAAAATGCATCCAAATGAGACTTTTGGTTTGGAGCTTGGCTACCAAATGGTGGTATTCAGGCCAATCCAAAGTACAGTGATGAGTCATAGTGAATACAAATAATCTGGGACTGCCAGACTGCCAGCAGGCCTGCTAGGCAGCAGAAGCAACGGCAGCCTGCAAGGCCTTGTCGTGGTGGCAGCAGTACTGGTGGCCTGCAAGGTGTTGCAGTGGCGGCAGGAGATGGTGGCAGAAGCAGAGGTGGCCTGAAGGCTTTGCTGAGGGAGGCTGCTGCAACTTCTGTCACCACTTCCCACTACCACCAGGAGGACTTGCTGGCCGCTGGCACTTATTGCCACCATGGTGAGGCCTCGCAAACCCCATTGCTTGTGTTGCCACGAGGCCTTGCAGGCTACCACTGCTATTGCTGCCATTTCCTGTTGCCGCCAAAAGGCCTCGCAGGATCCGGCTACTGCTGTCACCTCCTGTCATTGCTGCAAGTCGCTGGAGGCCTCTGCTGAGAGGCCTCGCAGGCTGCCGCCACTACTGTCACTACTTTCTGTCGTCGTTACAACTGCCACTGTTATGTAGTAAGATTAGTTGCAGTTCTCACTCAGGGCCACCAGTATAGAAATGAAGGATTGAAAACTATCGCTCATTATATTATATAAAGCAGCCAGCTAGGCTGCAGTCAGCCTGATTCCAGGAGCAGTTCTAACTGCTGTAATAAAGAGCTGTGAATCCAACAGAGCTGTGTCCTTCGTCCATCATTTCCACTATTCAACACTGGCGACGAAGATGGGATCGGATGAAACAAGACACAGCCAGAGCTGAACTGCTGAGCTGAACACTCAAGAGCTGAGATATCGCCGAGGCTAGCGTCCATCCCTCACCATTCAACCGGCACCGGGAAAACATGGCATCGCTACTGCCTCTACCCCCGTATTCGCCAGAAACCGAGTCCTGGCAGTCTTATATCGCTCGGTTCGAATGCTACCTTGAGGCAAATGCTTTCACTGATTTGACGGAAATATGAAGAGAGCTCTTTTCCTCACTGTCTGCGGCTCAGAAGTTTTTGAGACAGCTAGGGCTCTTGCGGCTCCACTTGCGGTGCAGGCTGCACCTTGGGACACACTGACTGAGAAACTCAAGGGACACTACACACCCAAGGTGTCCAGAATTGTTGCCCGTCACGTGTTCCATCATCGAATCCAAACTGAGGGGGAGACAACCAGTGAATTCTTATCGGCCCTCAGGAAAGCTGCATACCACTGTGAATTCTGGGACTTGGACGATGCCCTGCTGGATCGAATCGTGTGTGGTGTGAGGGACGAGAAACTACAGTGCCATTTCCTTGCCAAGTCCAATCTCACTCTCAAACTTGCCATCAAGGAAGCTCAAGCCGCAGAGGCAGCGAAACAGTCAACAGCGGAGATCCTCAAGGCCAACAGCTCAACAATTTCAAAGAAGCCAACCTCGGTCCACCATGGAGAGATCAGCGAATCTGAGGGCTGCTCAGATGAAGAGGATGATGTTTGCCGCATCAAGCAGGAACGTGGAAAGGTCAAACGGCGAACGATGGACCAATCAGACTGCGGGTTGCGGTGGCAACCACCCTCGGTCCAAATGCAGTTTCAAGGACGCCACCTGTCGGCGTTGTTCGCATAAGGGTCATATTGCGAGGGTTTGCCGCTCGTCTACTACAGCAGATATGCTACCGGCACCGGGAAACAAGAAGGCGTCGGCAAGGTATGCTAACAAGGACTGCCACACCCTCACCAACTGCCGTTGCTCGGCCGAGCTGACAGTTGGCCGGGCTAGCGGGTCTGAACACCGGAAAATTTATGTCACTGTGACTATTGAGGGCAAACCATGTGACATGGAAGTTGACACGGGCCCTGCCATGTCCATTGTCTCTTGGAGTACCATCAAAAGGTTGGTTCCTAAATTATCTAAGAAACAACTGGACTCCACCTACCTGCATTTGAGGGATTATCAGGGAAATAACATTCCAGTTGTAGGTGTGGGCAAGTTCAAAGTGACCTTCAAGGACTTTTTGGGACCGCTGAAGTTAGTCGTGGTCGATGAAAATCGGCCCAGCCTGCTGGGACTGGACTGGTTTGCGTCCCTGGGGTTGGAAGTTACAGGCATCCACAGCGTTTTGCAGTCAGAAATTGACACCATCATCACAGAGTTTTTGGAAGTGTTCGATGGAACCTTGGTACAGTATGTGGGGTTGCCCATATCCTTTAACCTCGAACCGCTAATCCTGGAAGGCTCCCTCTTCATTGCACCTACTGCCCTCCTTTGCCGACCACGTGCCCACGCCTTGCAGAGATGGGCTGGGAGGGGGAGAGCGAATGATTTACAAAAATGCACGTTTGCTGCAGTGCTGGGTAGCGGAGCCAGGGGAACGTGCCACACGTTGAGTTATGAAGGGGAGAGAATCAATAAACTCAGAAATAAATGAAGTGGCCGAGCAAGGCAGTGGTGGCGTGACGGGCAATCCCTCTCTAAGTGGGCGGGGGGGGGCAGGGGCAGGATTGATTCACGAGCCGAGAAGTTTATTGCAGGGGATGCCGCGGAACCGCAGCAAAAAAATCAAGGGAGTTCTGCTCTCTCCAGGATTAAGGGAGCAGCAGATTCCTCAGGAGGTCTCCAGCGTCAGCCCTGCTCAGTGCAAAAACCCATTGAGATGAATGGGCATGGCCGGCAGAGGTCCATCCATTTCAAGAGGCCTCCTCTGAATGCGACTGAGGCCATGTCCATTGAAAGCACTGGGGTGCTGCTTTAAGCAGTCACTGCTTCCCCCAAGGAATCCTGGGAGCTGTAGTTTGTTAAGGGTGCTGAGAGTTGTAGGGGAACCCCTATTCCCTTGACAGAGCTGCAATTCCCAGCGTTTCCTGGGAAGGAAGGACTGACTGCTAAACCAGCTCTGGGAGGGGAATGTTGGGAGATGGGAACCTCATGGGGAAAACTCCCCACCTGAAATTCTGACTCTGTATAAGGCAGCTTTCTCTGTTCCTGTATCTTAAGTGAATGGCTGTAGCTCAGTGGCAGAGCATCTGCTCTGAATGCAGAAGGCCCCAAGTTCAATCCCTGGCATCTCTGGGGCAGGCTGGGAAAAGACTGTCTGAAATCCTGGAGACATGGAGGGCAGAATCTCAGGCCCAGGCCAGGGTTTAAATGTGGCTTCTCTATCTGGCCCTCATAGCTCTCCCCAGGCCCTTATTCACATCACATTTTTGCCCTCATCTCAGGTGTTTCACACACCTTGCTCCGCCCACTTTTCCCTCTGGCCCTGCCCACCACTGGCACATGGCCCTCAAAGAGTTGCCCAGAGGCTAGAAAAGCTCCACCTCTGAGGTAGACAATCCTGAAAGGCAGCTTTCAATGCAGGTGATCAGGCCAGAGAAGAGAGGATTTGGGAAACCGCAGGGAAGTGATTCCATTTGCCAGCAATAGGAGAGTGGGACGATGCAGGCAAATGAGCTTGCCACCATTTTTATTTAAAAAAAAAAAAATTGCTGCCCAGGCTACGTTAGCTAGTCATACATACATTCTCTGTAACTGGGAGAAATTACACAGCACAGGAAATTTGATTTCTATTGCACTGGAATGAAAGTCACAGTTGCTGATGCGCATCCCTGTACAACCCTTCTCCATGCATTTGTATTCCTAGAAAGCCAGAGGAACAGGGAACGGGCTGTAGCTCAGTGGGAGAACACCTGCTCTGCATACAGAAGGCCCTGGGATCAATCCTTCAGCATCTCTAATTAAAAAGGTTACAGCGCAGGTAATGGGGAAGATTCTTTGAGTATCTGTTCGCATTTCTGCTTGCTCTGCATCCAGTGCGCTCCCACTGCTGCTACTTTTGGAAGCTGCATGTACTCAAGGCAATACATATCATAGAATCATAGACCACGAGGGACCCTGAGGGTCATCCAGTCCAACCCCCCGCAATGCAAGAATCTCAACTCAAGCATCCATGACAGATGGCCATCCAACCTCTGCTTAAAAACCTTCAGCGAAGGAGAGTCCAGCACCATCCTAGGGACCCACTGACTCAATTTGTATCAATCCATATCAATCCTGTTTGTTTGCTTGTTTACTATACACCACTAGACTGTAAAAAAAAAGCCTGAAATTGTTCTTAACCTGAAGCACCACTTTAGCTAATGGGGCCTCCCGCTGCCACCGCACCACTACTGCACAATTTCTGTTCTCATCCTGAAGCAAAGTTCTTAACCCGAGGTACTATTTCTGGGTTAGCGGAGTCTGTAACCTGAAGCGTCTGTAACCTGAAGTGTCTGTAACCTGAGGTACCACTGTAGAAGCAGTTGAGGGGGTCCATATGTGGTAAGGCATTTCTTTACAAAATACTATGCATTTTTTAAAAAAATCAGAGCTAGTGTAGTGTAACGGTTAGAGTGTTGGATTAGAACCTGGGAGACCAGGATCCGAACCCGCACTCAGCCATGAAACTCACTGGGTGACCTTGGGCCAGTCACTGCCTCTCAGCCTAACCTGCCTCACAGGGTTCTTGTGGGAATTAAACGAGGAAAGGGAGAGCCATGTACTTCACCTTGAGCTCATCTGGAGAAAAAGGTGGGATATAAATGCAATTTAAAAAAATAAATTAAAAGTTGACTAGAAAGCTGGATGTGGAGTAAGTGGTAATGTGAACATATTCCAACAGCTGTTGTGCATGTGCAAATGAGTAGGCCTGCTCAGATGACAGCTTCAGGAATAGGAGTTCCCAGAGAAAGGGGGTGGGGAACCAAAAAGTTCATGGACATCAGGTTAAGCCATCCCCATCCCCTTTGTGATGTGAAGAACACTGTGCAAAATGACCTTGCTGTGTTTTAAGCCGCATTGCAAACATACCTTGGGACTCTAGAGAGCTGCTGCCAGTCAGAGCAGACATTATTGGGCTCGATGGACGAGCAGTCTGACCTGGTGTAAAGCAGCTCCCTATTTTCCTAATGCAAGATGGCCAAAATACACACACACATGTGCTCCTATGTACATAAAAAATGTAAGGCTTTCATCGCACAGCCCCCAACTGAAGGATTTGTATGAAGTCAGAAAGCAGGCCCCTCTGGAGGATTTGTCATCGCAATCCTGGACTGGGTGGGACAAGGGAGCAAAAGAGAGGGCAGGTTCCACAACATGGCATGGGAGTGGGTGAACGTAGGGGGAATGGCATGATGGAGGTTGGTGAGTGCAGCAAGCAGGGGTGCAGCCTCTGCATTGATCAAGGGATAAAAACACGCTTGCAAGAATTTGGAAGAGAAAGTTTACATCGCCTATGCCAGTGCCACAAAGACACAGGAAACCTGTCTTATACCAAGTCAGACCATTGGTCCGTGTATGCCAGTATTGTCTACACTGACCGGCAGCTGTTCTCTGGAGTTTTAGGCAGAGGTATTTATCCCAGCCCTACCTGGAGATGCTGGGGGTTGAATATAGGACTTTCTGCTCTGCCATCAACACACAATCCTTCTTTAGTATTCTCTGTATTTTGGGAGAAATCATTCCAGGTTCACTTTGACAACAATTTCCTCTGGTGCCTGAATCTGCTGCCTTCTTAATTACAGGTTCCTTGTTCTGAAAGCAATCAGGCGGGGGTGGGCTTTGGTAATATGGCGCCCAGAGCAAGGCATCCAGATAAATATAGGTGGTATTATTATTATTATTATTATTGCTATTTGCCCCCTCAGCTCAGCACCCTGTGGAGGGGAACCACCCACACTACCCTAAACACAGCGCTGCAGTCGGGTCAGTGGAAAGTGGAAATTGGAAAATGGAAAGTGGCTGGACCTTCAAGGGTCACTGGAGACTGCCTCCCCTCCCTCAAATATAACTGAATCAACAAAAACTAAAATGAATTCGTTTCCAAGCATGCATTAATCTATGCAGAAGGGGCACAAGGAAAGAGGAAGAGGAGTTAGAGCAGGCACGAAACTTTGAATTTCTCAGCAAGGACCTGCCACCCAGAACATGTTGCGGCCCATACATAAGAAAGAGTCCAGCTGCATCAAGCCATGGGTCCATCTCACCCAGCCTGCTGCTCCCTACTTGATAGAGCATGAGACTCTTAACATCAGGGTTGTGGGTTCAAGCCCCATGTTGGGCAAAAGATTCCTGCATTGCAGGGGGTTGGACTAGATGACCCTCGCGGTCCCTTCCAACTCCACAATTCTAGGATTCTATGAGAATCCTGACTGTGGCCAATCAGATGGTTCCAGGAAGTCCAAAGGCAGGGTTTTATAAACCTCAGTCAACCCCCGCTAAGTTATCTGCCCCCCAACTAAAAACAACAAAACAAAACAAAACAAAACACAGCAGCCTTTCCAGTTAAAATAACCCTGGGGGATAATCCTGGCTAATTTACCGTATGTGATTCAATAGCTGAGCAGAATTAAACTCAGGAATCTGTAATGAGAGCCATTACAATGAGAGCCGGCATGGTGTAGTGGTTAGAGTGTCCGACAAGCACCTGGGAGACATGAGCTCAAATCCCCACGGACATGAAGCTCACTGGGTGACCTTGGGCCAGTGACTGCCTCTCAGCCTTGCCTACCTCACAGGGTAGTTGTGGGAATTAAATGAGGAGCGGAAAACAATGGATGCCACTTTGAGCTCCTTGGAGGTAAAGGTGAGATAAAAATGCAATTATTACTACTATTAATAATAATAATAATAATAATAATAATAATAATAGATACATTCCCAAGTGATGCCACACTATCCATAATTTTATAAACCACAATTACTTTCCCCTTGGTTCTTCTACCCCACTCATAATAAAGTCCCAAACACTGTAGCTTTTCCTGCTAAATTAACCCCGAAAGATAACCCTGGTTAATATCTGAGACCAGACAGCTGAGCAGAGCTGTGCCCCATTCTGTAATGGATCCATTCCCAAGTTTAGAGAGTTGAACAGCAGGCGTGTGTGTGTGTGTGTGTGTGAGAGAGAGAGAGAGAGAGTGAAAGATGCCCTAAACCACCCAACTACAGATAATTTGAAGGAGAGTGTTGGGGCCTTTTTGCACTAACCCACAACCTGCAATGTTATAGGCTGCTCTCAAGCATTTCAGCAGAGACACACTAATGCAGGAGGAAGGGCGAAGCAATGAAATTCAAGGCAGAGATTATTCTTGGAAGACCATCCCTCCTCCTGCTGCTGCTGCTGCTTCTCTCGCTTTCTGCTGCAAGAGGATGCCCTCTGATGCATACTCTTTCTGCAGCAGGGAAGGGAAGGGGGAGAGGGAAAAGCTCTGCAGTTTTTTCCTTCCTCCCCCCAGAGTTCCCACTGCAGCGAGACTGCATCAGAATAAAGAAGGGGGAGGGGAGGGGGAAATGCAATGGATATGCCGCAAGCAACTTCCCAGGGAAGACCCGGGTTTCTTTCACATGCAAAAAAAAATTTGAAAAATTATAAGCATCAAATCACCCTCTAACCTCAAGCAGACACATGCAATCCCCACCCCACACCCACAGCAACTTAAATCAGAAATAATATTGAAACCCGGAGGGTGGTTTTAGGGAAACGGGAATATAATTCAGCTGTTCTTTCTATGGATCCCCTAGGATAATTCCAACCGGCTCCAAATCAAAAGTTGAAGGAGCAGCTGGGAATCTTCTCCATGGGAGTCGGGTAGGAAGGCTGGTCCCCGAAACCGAGTCATTTCTGAAAATCAATGGAACTGTTTTGATTCCTGGAGACCATGGGCATATTACAGAAATATAATTTTAAAATAAAAATAAATTCAAATAAATTGACGCTGCATCAGAGTCAGGTTATCAAACACTCTTGCTTCACACACACACACACACACATTACCTGCCTTCTCCCGGACCTGTGATCTGCAGCTCTGCCTTCCTCTCAGTGGAATGATGCTTGTTAAAAAGTTACAAGCTTCTGCTCAGGAGGCAGGACCTGGGAAGGAGTCCTTGCACGGATAGCATCCAGGGAAGCTCAGAAAAGCTGTTTAAGCAGGGACAGGAGACAAGAAAAGGGGGGGTGTCAATGGGGAGGACATTAAATATATTAAATCACTTACTTTGCAGGATTGCATCTTCCTATGGAAAGGCAAAAACCACCCCCACGTCAGAGGCAGCATTCTGCCTCCATCAGTTTTTTGCAAATGTGGAAGCCAGAGAGTGTTGCTAGTCAATGAATGCATCAAAGCTATTCTGAACATCTTCTTTTTAATGGATAGTTGTCGCAGGAAAGTTCTTGGGGCCTGGGAACGTTGTGTGTGCTCGCACACACTTGTGTCTGCTTGTGTTACTCTGCAAAACTTAGAATCCTATCATTTTAGAGTTGGAAGGGACCTCAGTGGTCATCTAGACCAACCCCAGTCCTGTACATTAGTGGTCCCCATCTAAAACACAAACAATTGTCTCCAACTAAGTCCTACTCAGAGTAGGCCCACTGGAACTCGTGGAGCTGAGTTGCCCATGTCAATTAATGCAGCAGTTCTACTAAGTTAGTCCTGCTCAGAATGGGTTCATGGAAATGGGTAACTTCAGCCTACCAATTTTAGTGGGTCTCCTTGGAGTAGGATCAACATTAGCTAGACCTCCAAATTAATCACAGATTGACTGCAAGTTAGGATTACTACCCAGCCACCCTTTACGCCTGAAAGACACCTTTTGTGCGTGCAGAGAAGCAAATAATAATTTGGAACATTTATATGCCGTCTTTCCTGCTTTCACAGGGCTTTGCCCATGGCAACATCCCAAATACATAATGTGTATTTAATGGAAGCGAAGGCACAGAAAGAACTCATTATGGAGGCCAAATGGCCGAAATATTGGGAAATTCTGGAACAAGATGGAGACAGATTAAAATTGCAGAGCTTTGAAAAATTGAAAAATAGAGTGCGAGATTGGTGGAAGAAGATTGGAAAAAGTTTAAAGACTATTTACAGAAATACTGTAAAATTAATGAATGTTAGAAAAATGTTGGAATGAAGTTATATGGCTTGAGTAGAAATGTTATAAGGAATTAAGTATAAATAGATTAATAGAGTATTAAAGGAAAAAATAAGGTTAGATTGTGTTAAGATAATTACAGGATAGAAAACAGAGGAAGATGGAAAGGAATTGCTGAAACAATTAACAGAAGTGGAATACAAAAAGGGAGGTGTGAGGAGGTTGTGGAAATAAGTGAATGAAAGATAAGATATTGAAATTGTTTGATGTTTTCTAAACTGTTTTTGTTTTGTTTTGTTAGTTTAATGTGTTATGTAGTGTTTTTGTATTGTATTGTATTGTTTTTTTGTATTTTTTATCGTTTTTTGTGTGTGTGCTTAATTGTTGGAAAAGTAATAAATATTATCATAATGTATATTTAAAACCAGTGCCCCAAAAGTCAACAGAGTAGAATAAAATTAAGTGTCAGCAGTAGTTCATACACACATTGATCTACTTAAAAGCATTTCTAAGCCACTTAATATCTGAAAAATCTCAGAATGGTATTATACAAAAATGCAACATTCAAATGATGAAACTGGGCCGTAAAACAGAGATATGGTAGGAGTGCCAACAGCTATGGGGCAGAGCAGCTGCCTAGCAAGCAGAAAGCCCCACTGCCCCAAATCCAATCTCCAGCACCTCCAGGTGTGGCTGGGAATTGCCCTCAACCTGAAATCCTGGAGAGCTGCTGGCAGTTTGTGCCAGGACAATGCTGAGCTAAATAGACCAATGGTCTCACTCAGTATTCAGCAGCTCTCTATGCCCCATGGACATTTCTTTCCTTCCTTCCTCCTCCTCTTTGGCTAGCTAGCACTTTCGCCCATTCAAATGAGTCTCTACTGGTTAAAAAACCTCCAATTATTTTGTTCTTAAAAAATAAAAAGAGTTTGGGGTGAGGGAGAGCCAGCTAAACCCACACTCTTCACCTGCTGTTTGCGGACCAGGCCTTTAAAAACATGGGAGCAAGCAAGGCCATTCCCCACCTATGGCTACTACTAGACATGATAGCTATGACCTGCCTTGATGGTTGAAGGAAGCAATGATTCTGCATACCAGCGGCTGGAAGCCACAGGACAGGAGGGTCCTCATGCTCAAATTTGCTTGTGAATTTGGCCTGATCCAGCCGTGCTCAATTCTGATTCCTATGACTAATTTTAAGGCCTGCCACAAATGCAGGGGGGTTGCGGAGGGAGGTTTGTGGTTACGATGCATTATCTCATTATAATTATTCTAAGCAGTTTTATTATTATTTATTAATATTTAGGAGGTGCAGGAAAATTCACCTTCCAAACCAACCTCTCCAAGCTCTGCCGCAACCCAAAACGGATTCCTGCATGGAGTGTGACGACTTTCAGCTTAATTATTTGGCGGCATGCATTAAGTTTGATTTGCAGTCCCGCTGGTAGCAATGATTTGTATATTTAAGGCCTTCTTGCTGGTGTGAGGGTAGGCAGAATGAAGCCAGATGGGGCAGGGGAGATTATAGCAGCATTTAAACCCCCCTCACTTAGGATCAGGAATCGGAGAGCGCCAGGGGAGCTCTGCCCACACCCCCTCCTTCCTACTTACCTCTGCAGTTCCCCAAGCTTTCTGTAACTGCAGCAGTTCCTAACTCATCGGGTATGTGTCCTCTGGACATGCTGCGCGTGTGAGCATTGCAGCTCCACTGCAGCAACTGGCGGCCGGCTGCAGAGTGTTCCAGGCCGGCTGGCTCCTCCACTCCACTAGCCAGGGTAGACATTGCAGGTGCAATGTCCTTGTCTTTTCCAAAGAAAGAGAGAGAGAGAGAGAGAGAGAGAGAAGAAAGGTTGGGATGGAAAGGAGCCCATCTCATTAAGCTGTGAAAGCTGCAAGGGATTTAAACCCTGCACAGATCAATATGGAGAGTGGATGCTTCGTGGCAGCCAGGGTTGCAGCCAGCCATTATTTTACTCAGAGCAGACCCATTGAAATGAATGGCATTGCAAACTGCCATGTCATCTTCGGATGAAGGGTGGTATACAAATTTAATAAATGAAATGATGATGATGATGATGATAATAATAATAATAATAATAATAATCACCAGTTAACACTAATGTTCTTTACTTGGACTTTGTTATTTTAACCCACATGGAACTGTGCTTATTGTGCATGCCTGTTTTTTGGTTTTGGTTTTTGCCTTTTAATTTTCATCTGTTGTTAAAACTGTTCTCTCTGTTTGTCTTTAAAAAGAAAAAGAAAAACTTTTACTACCACCACCACCCCAAAAAAGAAAATGAAATAAAAGAATGAATGAGCCTAAGTTAGGCATGTTTGTTAACTTCAGTGGGGCCTATTCTGAGTAGGTCTAGTTCTATATGTAATTGTTTTGTAAGGCTGATTTTACTTTCTGTAATTTTCAGCACCCGCAGCTTAGAAATGTTAATAGTTAAGCAGTATATAAATACCTTAAACAAATACTATGCTTGTTTTAATTGTTGTTATATTGGCCAAGGCACAGTCTGACCCCCTCCATTGGTAATCCTCACAGAACTCTAGCCCAATGGTTGCCATAAATTTGATTTTGAATTGATTTTAGAATGAATTGATTTTAGAATGCATTTCAATTAATTGATTGTGATTTTATGTAAATTGTGTTACTTTTATTGCTGTTAGCCACTCTGAGCCCAGCTTCGGCTGGGGAGGGTGGGATATAAATAGAAATTTATTATTATTATTATTATTAAACACAACTTTTTATCCTGGCGTTTAACCACAAAGCCGTGTGTTTTCAGAGGCCACCTTGATTGCTGTGACTGTAATCTGTTGTTTAATTCTGAATTTTAAGTTGTCATAATCTGTCCTGGTACCTGCTGGTTGAAGAGCGGGTGATGAATTATTATTATTATTATTATTATTATTATTATTAATGCCCTGTTTCACAGGTGTGCTTTTGCATTGTTTTTGCAGATTGTGTTGTGAAATCGCTTCAAGACGCTTTGGAGGAAGCAAGCCATATTTTTTTTTAAAAAACGGCAATATTGTTTTCTGCATTCTGAAGCTTCAATGTTTTCGAAAGAGCAGGGCCTATTGGAATGAATGGACCATGTCTATTCATTCCAATGGGCCCACCAACACTGGATATAGTCCTTACTCTCAAGTAAAGCACTGCACGTGTGTATGGGATTGCAGTGTTGAAGGCCACAACATCACAAGTGCGGTCTAAGAACAGCAAGATTAAAAATTGCACCTAACCATTGGTCAACACTGCCTTGCAACAAAAAACGCTTTTATAAAAAAAAGTTATTTCCCCCACGCTTTATAAAAAGCCTTACCAACGCAGCCCAACGGATATCTACTCAGAAGTAAGCCCCGTTGAGTTCATTGCTACTTTCTCTTAGGCAAATGCGTGCACAATATTGAGGAGTGTTGCAGTCTGTTACTTGGAAGAAGAGCTCCCCACCCCCACCCCAACCCCAAGCGCCTTCCTCCCCACTTGGTTACCAGTTACAGTTTTGGCTGCACGCCTAAGCCTATTTACCTGGGAGTAAACCCCACTGAACTTAACGGGACTGACTTCCGAGTAGGCATCTAAAACTCTCCCTCCCGCATCACAACTGCCTGCGCTTGTGCAACGCGAACCATAAATATTTTCTTTTTTATAAAAAAACAAAAAACCCTGCTTGTCATTTGGAAGAGGAGGAGCCTTCTTGCCCTTCCAAGGAAATCAGATCAAGAGCGCGCTTCACCTTTGCCGCAAAATTCGCTTTTGGGGGTCCCACGCCGCCAGTGGGAGGGAGGTGAGTGCCCTGGATCAGCATTGGACCTACAGCAAAATGGGAAGGGGGGGGGCGGTCCAGATCTGTCAATCAAGTCCACTCCTCTTCCACCCCCATCGCCCGCTAAAAAGGTTCCTGATTGCACCATTGCAAATTCAAAGTGTTGCGTTGCGCCGTTGGGAGAAAAAAGGTTCGTTCTGAGCCTGCTGGAGGAAGACCCAGGAGACGAGATTTTAGTTTATTTTTAACTGTTTCTTTGCAAAGGCAAGCAAGGCAGCCGCCTCCAGATCTGGCCTTCCGCCGCACCAGACCAGCTGATCTTGCAGTGGAGCATGGCAAAAAAAAAAAAAAAAAAAAAAAGGTGCACCGTAGCCAAATCAGGAAGCTTTCTCGCTTCGGCCTGGGTTTGCTTCTAATAAAACTCCTAGCCATTTAATCAAGACAGAGCTGGAATTGCCCGGGTCATTCTGCAGGGTCACGGAGAGTCCTGGGAACTGTAGTTCCTTAAGGGTGCTGGCAATTGCAGTTCTGGGAGGTCAGCACCTTTAACAAACTGCAGTTCCCAGGGTTCTTTGAGGGGAGGGGAGTCATGGCTGTTAAAAGTGGCATATGACTGCTTAAAACCTGTGGTGTTGGTGTGACCTGAATCAGGGCTGAGGAACATGTGGCTTTACCTCGCTTGCTTTTGCTTTTTTAAAAACTGGCCTACAACTCCCATAATCCTTGACTGTTGCCTAAGGTGGCTGGGGCTGATGGGAGATGGAGTCCCAACAGCATACAGATGGCCACAGGTTCTCACCTCTGGCCTAGATTAAAAAGAATAGAAATTTTGTATGCTGGGTAGTAGAACATTTGCTTTGCATACAGAAGGTCCCAGGTTCTCTGCAAGTAGGGTTTGGAGAGGCCTTTCCTTTTGTGTGGTGTGTCGAAACCTCTCACTTTTTGCACAACTGCAATTAGGAACGTGGGGGGAAATTTGACTCGGCATGCATTTCAATGGGAACCTACCTAATTTGCAGTTACAGTGAACTGAAACAGCCCTCTGCAGCCAATGAATGTGTCCGCTAGGGGAGAGTGTACATATAAACAAATATATTAGTGAAAGTAGCGTACCAAAAATGCATAAAATTAGGGGAAATTGCATATGAACTTGTGTACCTTAGGGGAAATTTACAAAAAAAAACCAAACCTGCCAATTTTTCATCTTTTAAAAAAAGAATTGCAAACTCATAAGGAAATGTGTAGAAATGAACTATAGTTTGCAAGAAGGAGAAACTGAGAGTCACATCCATCGTTCTGCCCAAGGTTGCATTCACCACCCAGGCATGGCTGACAGAAGCTGCCCCATGAGAGAATGACACCCTTGGTTTGGAAAATGTTCCTTAGTCCTAGTCTGTATTCTGATTACTATCAAATGCCACACCATACATTCAAAGCAGTATCATACCATTTTAAACAGTCACTGGCTTCTCCCAAAGAATCCTGGGAACTGTAGTTTGCAAAGGGTGGATTAGAGACTCCTCTTCCCCTTGCTGAGCTACAGTTCCCAGAGTTCCCTGGGAAGAGGGGTTGGTTGTTAAACCACCGTTGCTGCGAATTGCAAGTGGGGAGAGTGTTGTTGCGCTCAGGTCCTGCTTGCAGGCTTCCCATTGGGACCTCCGGTTGGCCACTGGGAGAGCAGGATTCTGGACAGGACAAGCCTCTAGTCTGATCCAGGAGGGCTCTTCTTACGCTCTTAGTCACCCTATTTTTCTCGGCTAGCTCAAAAAAACAATTGGACCAATTCATGGGGTTAAGACTATCAGTGACTACTAACTACGGTGACTTTCTCCTACTTCCATAGTCCGAGTACCAGATTCTGGGAATCGCAAGTTGGGAGAGTTGCTGTGACACTGAGGTCCTGCTTTCAGGATTCGCACTTGGGGCATCTGGTTGACTGCTGAGAGAACAGGATGGTGGACTAGATGGGCCTTTGTCCTATCCAGCAATCAGACTCTTCTTGGACAGTTATGATAAACTGCTATGAACATGGAGAAGACTCCAGACATCCTATATTTGTTTCAGTGGGTTGAGGTCTTACTTGAGTGCCAGGGAAAGCTTTGCGGGGCTCAAGGCCTCCCATGGGCACCACCTTTGTGCAGAATGGTACATCCCAGCCATGCAAACACGCAAACACCCCTCTCCATCCAGGCCAGCAAGAGTCACAGTTCAAGAACAGGCAAAAGCTAGAATGTGCAGGGCTAGTTAAGAACCTCAAAGGTGATACAGAGAGGTTTGGGAAGCCACATTAGGTCCTAAGATTCCCTATCCCTGGGATTTTATTCCACGGAAAAATATTCCAAGCAATTCACCCACAAGGCTGCTCCAGTTGCTTTTGCTCACATGATGGTTGAAAATCAGTAGTCCAGTGCTACTCACACACTTCCTTGTTTGATCAATCTGACGTGGAAGCGGTTAAGCAAATTATCAGCTTCCCCTCCCCTCAAATAGTCTGGGTTTATTTGCATGACAACTGGGCACAGATAAAGAAATATTGTTGGAACAGCTAGGTGAATTTTGTGCAATTGGATGGGTGTTGTGTAACTAGGGAGTTTTCTGGTGGGAGGAGGAATGTGTTAGAAGCATTTCAAGCTGCTGAATCTGCTCCAAGGAGATGAATGGATCCATCTCTGGTATTGTGGTCTCGTCAGCAAAAGAAAAATGCTCGCGCACACGCACACACACCAGGGCATACTTTGCACATTTGTAGATATTACATTTGACACCACAAGCTCAGGTGTGGTTCAAATCACTACTCTCCTCTTCGGCAAGTAAGAATTGGCTTTGGGCAACCAATCAGGGAAGCTTTTTGAGAGTTGACTCTTTCAAGCTGCAAGGGACTAGCTTAGGTGTACTGTGGACTAGAATCTTGTACAGAGCTATTTACAAGGCTGATACAAAATGAGAACACAAACTACATAATAAAAACTGTGTCTTTTATAAAGGAACCCAAATTATTTCTTTAAAGCACTTTTGTGTGCCTCTTTAAAACCCTTGTGTACCTTAACCAGCTCAGGACCACAAAACCAGCTCAGACCCTGCAAGCATCACCTGAAACCCATTTTCATGTGCCTCCTCCATGAGAGGTCCAGGGGGCGGCAACACGAGAACGGGCCTTTTCTGCAGTGGAATGCTCTCCCCAAGGAGTCTCCCCTGACACCTTCATTACAAATCTTTAGGCACCAGGCAAAAGCATTCCTTTTCTCCTAGGTCTTTGGCTAATTAAACAGTCTATGGTATTTTAAACTGTGGGGGGTATTGTTTTTGTACAAACAAATTGCAGTGTAATTAATTAATTAATTAATCAAATCAATCAATCCCATGCACCCTGAGAGGGACAGATGTTAGCCATGGTGAATATAAAACAGGGTGGTGTAAGGAGAGAGGAATGTATGCATTACTATTCCCGCCGCCCCCCCCCCCGTCCAGAATAGGAGGGGTCTAGTTTAACCAGGAAAAGTTGCTTATCTCTGTAGTCTTTTGTTTACCTTACAGCTGAACACAGCAGCCAGACTGGTTTTGCAGATTCTTTCTCACAAGTTTAGAAGACATAAAGGCAGCAGAACTAGAAAGAAGCTGGTTCCTCTGCAGGTGATTTATTCCACGGCTTAGGTAAGTCTATATGGCAAGATCAGCAAAAGGCAATAAATTGGATTGGCATTTGTTTAGAAGGTAGGGGAGGATGAGCACAGCTAGTTGTAGGTCTTCTGGTCCTAAACCAGCATTCACCAAACTGGTGCCCTCCAGAGGTTTTGGACTAGAACTCCCATTAGCCCCTGCTATTGGGCTGATGGGAATTGTAGTGCATAACATCTGGCAGGCCCTGGATTGTTATAGGTAAAAGGTAAAGGACCCCTGGATGGTTAAATCCAGTCAAAGGTGATTATGGAGTACAGTGCTCATCTTGCTTTCAGGCCAAGGGAGCCAGCGTTTGTCCACAGACTGCTTTCCAGGTCATGTGGCCAGCATGACTAAACCGCTTCTGGCGCAATGGAACACCATGACAAAAACCAAAGCACACAGAAACGCCATTTACCTTCCTGTCACAGCAGTACCTATTTATCTACTTGCACTGGTGTGCTTTCAAACTGCTAGGTTGGCAGAAGCTGGAACAGAGCAATGGGAGCTCAACTCATTGCATGGATTCAAACCACCAACCTTCTGATCAGCAAGCCCAAGAGGCTTAGCGGTTTAGACCACAGCACCACCCACGTTCCATACCTTACCTGGGTTGTTATATACTGCTACCAAAAAGGGTAAAGGAGCTCACCCCACTTCCCTAAGTTGTAGGATATTTCAGTGTGCCCTGATTAGGGGGATCTGATTCCTTGTAATGAGGTTGAATTGGGGTCGTAAGGGTGCTTTTGTAATAACTAGTTTTATTTATAGATATATTTGTTTTTAAAATCTTAAAATTGCGGCTTACAAAGCCATAATACATGTTGAGGTATTACTGAGAGCTGAATGGAAAATGTGCATTAAAAAAACCCCCAACATATCAAGAGGATGATACATTATTAGGTTTGTTTGCAAAACTAATCCTACCCAGAGTAAACACATTGAAAAAAATTCCTCACACCAGAGCCAGTGTGGTGTAGTGGTTAGAGTATTGGAACTAGAACCTTGGAGACCAGAGTTCAAATCCCCCAATCAACTGTAGAGCTCACTGGGTCACCTTGAGCCCATCACTGCTTCTCAACTTAAACTACCTTGCAGGGTTGTTTGTGGGGGGTTAAATGAGGAGGGGGAGAACCATGTATGCCCCCGTGGAATATCAATGCAAGGAAACAATCACTTATGTCCATTAATGTCAGTGAGTCCACTCTGAATAGGACTGAGTTGGTTACTACAATCCTTAAAGTTTAATTTTATATTGATAGCCCAGTTGGTTTGAGCGTGATGCTGATAATGCCAAGATTGCAGGTTTGATCCCCAGACGGGACAGCTGCGTATCCCTGCATCGCAGGGGTTGGACTAGAAGATCCTCAGGGTCCCTTCCGATTCTATGAATGGGCATGGACAGTTATTTTTTAACTGATTGTATGTATGTATTTCGGGGGTGACATTAGGCAAACTTGTTTTAACTTCTGACTTTTACTGATAACTTTCATTTTATGTAAACCGCTTAGAGGTTTTTTATGATCAAGTGGCATGCAAATTTCTGTTAGGTAAATGAAAGGAAATGATCATAGCTTTTAAAACTTTCCTTCCAGCTCTCTGTGTTTCCCAAGATGCTTTTCAGAGCCATCTTCGCCCTCCACTTCCTCTGGGGAGTCCTCCCTTCTGAGCCCAGAGAGTCCCGTGGCCACATCTCTGTGGTCCTCCTGGGTGCCACAGGAGACCTTGCCAATAAGTACTTGTGGCAAGGACTCTTCCAGCTGTACCTGGACGAGGTGAGCCACGGGCATAGCTTCACATTCCATGGGGCCGCTCAGACAGAGCCTGAGCGAGGGCGGAGGCTGGTCTTTGAACGGCTGAAGAGGCTGGCCTGTCCCTCAGACGTACCCCCAAACAGGTGTGCTGTGTTGAAGGACCAGTTCATCAAACTGACAGATTATCACCAGCTCAAGACAGCAGAGGACTACGCCACCCTAAACCGGCAGATTACGACCACGCTCAGCCAGGAAGGCATGCAAGAAGCAGGCAGGATATTTTACTTCTCCGTGCCGCCGTTTGCCTACGCAGAGATTGCCCGCCACATCAACAGCAGCTGCAGACCGCCACCAGGGCTGTGGCTACGGGTGGTGCTGGAGAAGCCTTTTGGCCATGATCTCAGGTCAGCCCAGGAGTTGGCTGATGAGCTAAGGACTTTCTTCCGGGAAGAGGAGATATACAGGGTGGACCACTACCTTGGCAAACAGGTGAGTCTCCTTGTGAAAACTGGAGGGGATATAACCTGGTAAACATGGGAAGCTGCTGGTAAACATAGTAAGTAAACATGAGTCAAGCCAATGGCTTGGTCCATCTAGATCAATGCTGCCTACACAGACTGGCAGCAGTCTGTGTAGGCATTATTGGACAGGGTTTGGACAGGGTTCTCTCCCAGCCCTACCTGGAAACACTTGGAATAGAACCTGGGACCTTCTGTGTGCAAGGCAGATGCCCTACCACTGAGCTACAGCTCTTCCCGTAAGGTATAGGAACATAGGAAGCTGCCTTATCGCAAATTAGACTATCTAGCTCAGTATTGGCCACACTGACTGGGAGCAGCTTTCCAGGATTTCAGATGGGGACATTCTCAGCCTTACCTGGAGATGCCAGGGGTTGAATCTTAGACCTTCTACTTGCAAAGTAGACATTCTAAAACAGGCTTTCTTAACTTCGTCTTCTGGAAAACATGCCCAGGGTGGTTGGGTCAGGTGAGCAGAGGCTGGCAACATCCCCCCTGGAAAAAAGCAAGACTGAATCAACATGTGCAATAGCACAAAGTGGTCAAATTCCTCAAAAGTACTGGATTTGTAAATAAAACAATAAAGCAGGGGTAGCGAATGTGGTGCCCTCCATATGTCATTGTACTCCCATCATGCTTGACCTTTGGCATCGCTGGTCAGGGCTGATGGGAGTTGGAGTCCAACACCCGGAGAGCCACAAATTCCCCATCCCCTGGGCTAAGGTGGGCTTCAGTTCCATGCATCCGTGGCTACTAACCCTGACCTCCACTGTTGGGTGCAGGTTGCCCCTGAATGCCAGTTGCTAGGAATACAAATGGGGAGTGTGTTTACTTATGGATAGGGCTTCCCATAGGCAACTGTTTGCTCACCGAGAGAACAGGATGCTGGACTTGTTGTGCCTCTGAATACCAGCTGTTGGAAATGACCAGTGCTGTCACACTCAGCTCCTGCTTGTGGGCTTTTGGGGGGGCATCTGGTTGGAATAGGATGCTGAGCTGGATGGGTCGTTGGCCTGATCCCACAGGGCTCAATGTTGCAAGATGTAGTGATGGCTACCAACCTGGATGAAACAAATTCCTGAAGAATAGGGCTCTCCATAGCCATGTCCTCCCTCCACTGCCAGGGGCAGCAATGCTTCTGAATGCCGGTTCTGGGAATCTCAGGTGGGGAAAGTGCTCTGGTACTCAGGTCCTGCTTGAGGGCTTCACCTAGAGGCACCTGGCTGGCCACTGTGAGAACAGGATGCTGGACTGCATGGGACACTGGCCTCACCTAGCAGGGCTCTTCTTATGTTCTTATGAAATAAAGCTGTAGACCAGTGCTCCGAATGTGTGTGGTGGAATTACCTGGGGGGTTCTAAGAGGCAAAAGGGAAGCAGTGAGGCACTGGAGGTGTAAATGACTCTCAGACTTTGAAAAGCTGGTGCCATTTGTTTTGTTGAATTAACTAAACGAAATAGTTTTACCTGGATTTTGGGCAAATGTGCAATTAATCGTTGCTGTTTTGAATTTTATTACGCCATTATCTTCCTTAGAGGGTTGCGCAAACTGCTATGCTGAATATTGTTTTTTATAAAGTAGGGTAGGGGGCACTGGAGATTAGTTTTTATTTTAACTCCCCAAGGGGGAGGTCGCCTGAAAAAGTTTGCTGCTGTTGACGAAGGCGTTTCCCCACCCAAGTAATAATGGCCCGTTATTTTATTAGCTCCCACCACTGCTGTAAACTGGCCACACCAGCAAAGCTGTATCCACCTGACTTCCCAACCAAGGTCAGAAACCTCAATTTCGCTGAGTCATCAACCCCCGCCAACCGCCCTCCACACTCTCGCTAACGGAGAGTCAGCCAAGCGCCAGATTTTCCAAACGAGGCTTTTAATTTGATAAGGAATGTGGAGCACGCACAATTCTCCTTTACGTTTGCTTGTTTGTTTTTTGATCAGGCAGCTTTACAAGGGGGCAAAGTCTTTAGCTCCAAGGCAGTAACAAAATGGGCGGTGGGAGGGGGGATATGTCACTGTGGCGCCAGTGAGGGATGAGGGTTTTTTATTCCTTGGTTCAGGAAGCAGATTCTGGATAGTGGTAATCAGGTATTTGTTATTGTTACGCAGGCTAGTATTAATGCAGTTAAACCCCTAAATTTGAAACGTGGTATCAGCATTTTTCTAATTTTATTCCCAATTATAAATTTTATTTATATATTTTTTTCCTGCAAGGACATAGCCTTATTCTGAGGCTGTGTTCATACCATATATCTAAAAAGTATCATACACACACACACCCCACAAAGAATCTGTTAATGGTTCTGAGAATTATAGTTCTGTGAGAGGTAAACTACAGTTCCCATAATTCTTTGAGGGGGTGGAATGCGATTTAAATGTCTTGTGTGTATGAAGCCCAAGTTTCACATAAAGATCATTAAGGTGTATCTTAACCTTTCACGTGTCAACCATGTTCCACACAAACAGATAATACCACACAGGCCTTTTGTTTTGTTCTCCTAGCCAGCCATCCAAACCATAGGCCCACCTGGCAGTGGCTCCCTGGGGTTTCAGGCCACAGGTATTCCCATAAATTGAATGTATGTCTGAATGAATAATCCTCACAAAAGTAGTCCATCTGTGTCTGGACTGGACTGCAGGTGGGGACTTTCCAGGCAAACATACAGCATTTTCCCTCATAGCAGTCGCATCTTTTGTGCCGATTTTTCCTTTCCCAAAAAGGGGGTGTGCGACTGTTACGTGACCAGCACGTGGCAAAATGCAGTATTCTCTCCACACAGATATCTAACATGTCGAGGAGAGCCAAGCTCCTGACATGCTAGCTTTCTACATGGGGGGAGGCTCCCCCCACCCCCACCTGCCTACATCACTCTGTGGGAGCATTTTTTTCATGTAGCCCTCCAGTTGCAGTCTGAACTGGTATAGTCCCAACACGGGTTGACTGCCTTTATTTGAGGCCTCATCCACACCATACATTTAAAGCACTATTATGCCACTTTAAACTGTCATGGCTTCCCCACAAAGAATCCTGGGAATTGTGGCTTGTTAATGGTGCTGAGAGGAGGCCTCTTTCCCCACATCACGTAGCTACACTTCCCAGAATGGTTTAACAACCAGTCCTTCTTCCTAGGAAACTGGGGATTTTAGTTCTGTGAGGGGAATTGGGGGGGGGTCTGCTTTCAGCACCTTAAATACTACAATTCCTATGATTCCCTGAGGGAAGCCAGGACTGTTTCCAATAGCATCTATGGAGCCAAGGCCTCCATCACTTGAGGAAGAAATGCACCCTGGATGTCTGAGAAGGGCCTTGAGGTGTCCATTTTGAAAGGCCCTGAGGCCATGTGCTGTGCTTTCGGTTTTCAAGAAAGAGATATCCCCCTGCTTAAAAAGAAACCCTCCAACCACAGCCATACAGTGGTACCTCAGGTTACATACGCTTCAGGTTATGCTTCAGGTTACATACGCTTCAGGTTACCCAGAAATATTACCTCAGGTTAAGAACTTTGCTTCAGGATGAGAACAGAAATCGTTCTCCGACGGCGCGGCAGCAGGAGGCCCCATTAGCTTCAGGTTAAGAACAGTTTCAGGTTTAGAACGGACCTCCAGAACGAATTAAGTTCTTAACCTGAGGTTCCACTGTATTGCATTGGTAATGTGAATATTGGCCTTTGAATATTTACCTCAGCAACTCCAATCCCCCTGGGGAGGCAGGGGGTTAGATCTTCACAGCATCTGTCTGATTCAGCCACTTTTGAGTCCACAGGGAATTCAAAAGTGTGTGGTGTGTGTACATTTTTATTTATTTTTTGCAGGTAAAGGCTTTTTCAGATGAAACCTTCAGAGTTTTGTCCGTTTGCCAATTTTCTCTCTCCCCCCCCCCACTAAATTCCAGCACCTTGATTTCCTCTCCCCCTCAAAATCCGAATTAAATGTTAGGTAAAGTTATATAATATTGGAAGGGTCGTGACTTAAAATCTCTACCAGCATTCTTCCCACCAGAGTAAAAATAAAATATAAATACAGCTTTGAATTAATTTTGGGTGTTTTTTGGGCGGGTCAGTACCTCTCCAACCCCCAAAAATAAAATATTTCAGTTCAACCAATGTTTGGCTATGGGAGGGCAACAGTGCATTAAAATGTTAACTTGTTTTTTGTTGGTTGACTAAATATTAGGACCCCACCCCATGCTGAATCAGATATTAAGGGGCAACACACACACGTGTGAGGAAATATGTTTGGGTATTTTTAGCTTAGAAAAATTGTTAAGGACACAGTAGAGGTTTATAAGAATGTAAGATGCAAAAAATGGTGCCTGGTGCAGAGAAAATGGAGAGAGAGGTTTTTCTCCTCCTCTCTCTCATCGTCCTATAATTTGGGGCCATCCAGTGAAGGTGAATTTTGGGATATTCAAGGAAAAAAGGACTTTCTTCATGCTGCGCATCGTTTAAACTATTATTTGAAATTATTATGTATTCATTTTATTCTTTGCGTTTATATCTCACCTTTTCCTCCCAAGGAGCTCAAGGTGATGTACATGGCTCTCCCCTGCTACTCATTTAGTCCTTACACCAACCCTGTGAGGTAGGCTGAGAGGCAGTGACTGGCCCAAGGTCACACCCAGTGGCCAAGTGTGAGGATTTGAACCCTGGTCCTAGTCTGACACTCTTAACTACTAAACCACACTGGCTCTCGGTGTGGAATTTCCCGTGGTGTGGAATTTCCCATCATCTCCGTAATTGTCGCAGTAATTTATTTATATTCTGTGCCAAGTCCCCAGAAGCAATTAAACATTTATCCCTCTGCTTTTGATTTTTTAAAAAAAATCTCTTCTGTCTTCCCCTGCCTTTTCTACCCTTTCATCTCAATTATTTCCTCCCCAAAGGCTGTGGCTCACATCTTACCATTCCGAGACCAGAACCGACACCATTTGGATCCGATCTGGAACCGGCATCACGTTGAAAGGGTGGAAATTGTCCTGAAGGAGACAGTGGATGTGAAGAGTACGTGAGTCTTGATTTGAAGTCCGCTAGAGGGCTAGCTCGAGAACATTTGAATAAAACAGGCCCCTCTCTGAATCCTGGGAACTATAGTTTGCCCACAACAAAGCTACAGTTCCCAATACCTTCATCAAACTAAAGTTCCCAGAATCCTTTGGCAGAAGCCGTGTACCTTAAATGTGTTGTGTGGGGGCACTTTTATACCACTTTTCATGGCTTCTCCCAAAGAATCCTGTGAACTGCAATTTGTTCAAGATTCTAGGAATTGTTAGGAGACCCCTCACAGAGCTACAGTTCCCAGCACCCTTAAAAAAACCAAAACCCTAAAGTTGCCAGGATGCTTTGGCGCTTTAAATATCTGATGCAGATATGGCCGTGGGAAAGGGGACCCTTTGCAGATCTGGAATGTGTCTTCTTCTTTTTGAAAAAAAAAGATTTTTATTAATAATTTCAATATAACAAATCATCATAACATATCATCTTCATCATTCCCCCCATTTCCCCCTTCAAATATTTAGGGATATGGTTAACATCAAGAAACAAAAATATCTACAAAGATAATTATGAAAAAGTGTGGTTTAAGATAAAAAGAAATTTAGAAATATGGAGCAGAATGAATCCCTCCTTGCTAGGAAAAATAGCAGCGGTAAAAATGAATGTTTTGCCAAAAATGCTATTTCTTTTCCAGTCAGTCCCAGTAATGGTGAAAGATGATTGCCTCAAAAGATGGCAGAAGGAAATTTCTAAGTTTATCGGGGGGGGGGGGAGGCCAAGAATAAAGCACAAGATACTCACAGACACAAAAGAAGTACCACTGTATTTTGAATTACCTGATATCAACGCAAGACAGTGGTTTCATCCCCACAGCAACCCTGTGAGGTCAGCTAGTCTGAGAGACTGTGAGGGGCCCAAGGTCACCCAGTGAGTTTCACTGCAGGATTTCAACCCTCATGTCCCAGGTCCTAGTGCAGCGCTCTAACCACTATGGAAAACTGGCTCTCACGTGGGAATTGCCTTGAGACAGTGGGGGTTTAGGGGGAAATTAATACATGGGTGGTCTGATAAATAATAATAATAATTGTGTTCATGCCCAATGCACAAGTCGCCGGAGTCAGTATAATGCGGTTTTCCCTGAGCTGCAAATCCTCATTGAATGAAGCCCCCTCCCCACCTTCCATTCTAGTATTATTGAGGAGTGGGGAAGGCTGCAGGGCTTCCCCCAGCCTGGAAGCTGGCTGTGGTCCTGTTCCTTGCGACCCCAATTCTCAGCTCCGTCAGGACAAGCCAGGCCTCACGTCCCCATGAACTCAAGGACACAGCTGTGCTCAATTTCCCTGCAGTGGCTGCTGCATTACTTCCGCAGCGCCGGTTGCACCTGCCGCCTGCCTCCGTTCTGGGGACAGCCGCTTGGCCACCCTTCACTCCCTGCAGCGGGGGTGCCGTGCCAGTTAGCCATTGCCTTATTAAAAAAATATATATACTTGAGTGATTTTTCTTTTCTTTTTAAAGTTGTTGTGGTTTGGCAAACTCCCGTTTGCTCCCTGCATCCTGGTTGAGAGAAAAAAGGGGATAGTCGCCAGCTGAGACCTACTCAGTATGAACAGACCTGAGCAAGCCGTGGCAGTTGATTTCAGTGGGTCTGCTCTTGAGTAGGTCTAGCATTGGCTTTAACCCAATGCCATCAGGCTGTCTCCTTATTTCTCTCCCCCTTGCAAGACTTCCAAGGGGTGATCTTTCATTTGCTGACAGCTCACTGCCACCAGCCCCCACCCCCATCCCAAATGCTCAAGTGATGCCTGCATTGCCCAGGTCCTGTGCCAAAATGTGTGTGCAGCATTGATTACGTTAATGAATGTGGAAGAAGATGGGGTGTTCTCAGTTCCAAAGTTTTTAAGAGGGTAGAGAGTCGCACTGTCATCTGCAGAGAGATCATCTGCACCAAGGAGAAATGAGGGAGGGGGTTCTCCTAGAGATAAATTGCCTTTCTTTCCTCCCACTTCTCTCCCCCACCCCCCAGCATATGCATCACACCTGATCTTCAGGTGTTGTTGTGTACACACCATGGCTGGTTGCCCGCTCAGTTTTAATCAGAGTAGACTCATTGAAATGAACAGCTATGTCTGTTAACATCAATGGATCTACTCTGCGTAAAGTTGAACGGCTCCTACTTCCTACATTTGAAGCACAACCACACACTGAGTCCTGGGAGCCGTAGTTTAAAAATGCTGGGAATTGTAGCTCTGTAATGGGTAAACTACAGTTCCCAGAATTCTTTGGAGGAGGAGTTTTTTAAAGGGATGCTTTAAAGGGATGGTGCATGTGTGCAGCCTAAGATATGAGCCAGCCAGGGCTGTTGAAAGGAAGGCCTGCAGCTAACCCTTTTCTGTAACCTCTCAAGGGCACTGCAGTATGAGGCTGAGCAGGACCTCTCGCTCCTTCCAGCCAGTCTGACATTTTAATTTTATTTCAATTTATTCTTGTTCCGTTTCATTTCTGCTTGGCTCTTCCTCCCGAGGAGCTCAGTAGCAGCCCACGGGTGAACAGGGCTATTGCCTGTGTTTTGCAAACATGCACAGCAGAAGCTTAAAACTTCTTAGGTTCTCAGCTGGAGTAGGGAAATTTTGGCTGCATAAACAACATATATTTCAAGAACGCCCCCCCTCCAAAGAGAATCCTGGGAACTGTAGTTAGGTCCTCAGTGAGCTACAATTCCCAACACCCTTTACAATCTATAGTTCCCAGGATTATTTTGAGGGGCGTGTGCTTTGAATGTATGGCATGTCCACAGCCACTGTTATAGTAACACATTTATGACTTAGTTGTTCTAAAACTAAGTTGTTCTAAAAAGGGATTGGATAAATTCATGGGGGATGGGTTTGTGAACATAGTGTAGTGGGTTGAATGTTGGACTAAGACATGGAAGAATAGGGTTCGAATCCCCACACAACCATGAAACTCACTGGATAATAATAATAACAATAACAATAATAATAATATAGTCATGATGGCCATGTTAAGAGGCAGCCAATCTCCTAAATTATAGATTAAATGCTTTTGCATTTAATTCATTTTTTAAAAAATCTCTATTCTTAGCTGCTCAGGAAACTTTTCTTGTTGGGCAGCATAGAAATATTGGAAGGTATTCAACTAAGTTTTACTCAGAGAAGACACACTGAAATTAGTGGGCCTAACTTAGTCATGCTTGTTGAGTTGAGTGGGGCTCCTCTGACCAAAACTTAGTTGAAAATCACTCAATGGATTGTCTCCAATGTTAGTCCTACTCTGAGTAGGCCCATTGACATTAGTGAGCATGATTAATGGGCCTATTAATTTCTGTAGGTCTACAAACTATTGCTGTTGTTATTGTTATAAATCTCATATATGAATCGCTTCCACTGTGGCATCTCAATGCAATTTAAAATATAACAGCATGTGTACATCAGTCACTTGTATGAAAAGAGTTAACAATTGTATATCTAAAAACAATTAGCAAAGCAATTATAAATACAAAAACAGTTTAAAACAGCAACACGTAATAAAATCAGTTCAAATCCAAGACAGATACCCACTGGGGTAAAGATTTTTGAAGTCATAGATCCATCTAGCTCAGTATTGTCTACACCAGGCTTCCTCAACGTCGGCTCTCCAGATGTTTTGAGACTACAATTCCCATCATCCCTGACCACTGGTCCTGCTAGCTAGGGATCATGGGAGTTGTAGGCCAAAAACATCTGGAGGGCCAAGGTTGAGGAAGCCTGGTCTACATGGAGTAGTATAATCCGAGGCATCATTGTATCCAAGGAGGGCCCATTGAGTTGAGATTCCTGCATTGCAGGGGGTTGAACTACCTGGAGATACCAGGGATTGAACCTAGGACCTTCTGCATGCAAAGCAGAAGTTCTGCCACTGAGCTACAGCCCTTCCCATAAATAAACCAGTGGGTTGCCAAGCTTCTCTCGCTATTTGGGCATCATTTATGTGTTGTTGTTGTTGTTGTTGTTATTGTTGTTCCCACCCCCGGTGCTCAGATCGCACTGGCTTCTACGAAAAATACGGGGTCATCCGCGACATCCACCAGAACCACCTCACCGAGATCTTAATGTTCCTTGCCATGGAGCTCCCAGCAAATATCAGCAGCTCCGAAGACGTCATCCGGAGCAAGCTGCAGGCTTTCACGTCGCTCCAGAGCCCAGAGATAACCAGCGCCGTCATTGGCCAGTACGTGGCATACAACAGCCACGTGAGGGAGGAGCTTCAGAAGGGGCAGGACTACTTCAGCAGGACTCCAACCTTCGCAGGTAAGTCCAGTGGGGGTAAGCATGGCCAAGTGCAAAAGTCAGAAAATACCTTCCCCGGGTGCAAAAAAGGACGGGGCTCTGGCACTTTTAATAGCTGCTTGCCTGTTAAGCGGCACTTGGTGGAATTCCCTGTTAAAGGTGCATGAGCCCTTCTCCATCCCCCCAGTAATTTTTGTATCTAAAATAAAAGATACAAAAAATTAATATCAATTAACAGCAACAACCCCACCCCCTAACAAAAGCCCCTGGGCCTAAGCTATATGCCAGTCCAAGAGTCTGTTCAGCAGCCTCAGCTTTTGTAGCTGGAGTCAGTCAGGCCAGTTGGGGAAAGCCCACTGAGTCAGGGAGCAGGTCTTCCAGGACTCACAACCAAGACAGTTGTGACGTAACAATAATAACAACACTTCTGCATCTTTTGTTTCAGGTGTGCTGGTTCACTTGGACAACCTCCGCTGGGAAGGGGTCCCTTTCATCCTCGCCTCCGGGAAAGTCCTGGATGAACGGATCAGCTATGTACGCATCCTCTTCAAGAACCGGGCCTACTGCACCCAGAACGAAACGATGTGGGACCCCGAGAGCAGCCAGTGCAAGCCCAGGCAGATCATCTTCCACATCGGGCAGGGAGAGCTGAACTCGCCCGCCATCCTGGTCAGCCGCAATCTCTTCAAGCCCACCATGCCGGACAGCGGCTGGAAGGAAGTCCGCGACCGCCCCCAGCTGCGCATCTTCGGACAGCCCCTCTCTGATTACTACGTCTACATCCCCGTAGCAGAGAGGGACGCCTACTCAGTCCTGATCTCCAGGATCTACTCTGGCAAGAAAGAGTCCTTCATCACTGTGGAGAACCTGCTGGCATCCTGGGCGTTTTGGACGCCACTGCTGGACGGGTTGTCTATCCAGGTCCCACGTTTGTACCCAGGGGGGCGGGAGAACGAGCAGCTCCTGGATTTTGAGATGGTGGGCAGGGAAGTGTCCTTCGTGGCGAAAGAGACCATTGAACTGATGGACGCGAGGGACGAACAAACCCCGGACAAGTACAAGACGATCCAGTCCAGGTTTCGGCAAAGCCAGCTGATCACCGCTTGGTCGGAGGAACTGATCAACCGGCTGGCATCGGACATCGAAGCGACGGCGGCAAGTGCTGTCCGGAGGTCCGGGGAGTTCCACATGGCGCTCTCGGGAGGGTCGAGCCCCCTGGCTTTGTTCCGGCAGTTGGCTACGCGTCACTTCGGCTTCCCATGGAGGCAGACCCACCTGTGGCTGGTGGATGAGCGCTGCGTCCCTCTTACCGACCTGGAGTCCAATTTCGGCACCCTGCATGAACAGCTGCTCCGCCACGTCCGAGTCCCCTACTTCAACATCCACCCCATGCCGGTGCACCTCAACCGAAGGCTCTGCGTGGAAGAGGACAAGGGTCCCGAGCTGTACGCCAACGAGATCGCCGCCCTGGTGACCAACTCCAGCTTCGACCTGGTGCTGCTGGGGGTGGGTGCCGACGGGCACACGGCCTCGCTCTTCCCGCACTCACCCGTGGGCCTCGAGGGGAGCCAGGGCGTGGTGTTCACCGAGAGCCCCGTCAAGCCGCACCAGCGCATGACCCTCACCTTGCCGCTCATCAACAAGGCCAAGCGGGTGTCGGTGCTGGTGATGGGGAAGGGCAAGCATGACATTGTGACGGTAGTCAGCAGGGTGGGGCACGAACCCAAGAAATGGCCCGTCTCCGGAGTCAGCCCCAGCTCTGGCCAGATAGCATGGTATGTGGACTACGAGGCACTGCTTGGATGATGCCCCGGTAGTGCTGCCTTCACCACCTCCCCCTCGCCCTTTGCCTGTCTTGGCATTCAGGATATCGGGCAGCTGTTGCAGCTGTCTTCAGGAAAATTCTTCTGTCTGGTGGCAGGGAGTTCCACTGGCTGTTAATGAGGCTGTATTTTTATTTTATTTTTTAAAGAAAGATCTGCAGACCAAGGCCTGTCTGATAACCTGCTGCTTCTGACAACAGCTGGCCTTATTTCACCATTGGCCCGCAAACTTAAAAGCAGGATGTGACAAGCCCTTCAGGTATGTCCCTAATGTGCTACACTGCCACCGTGCGCAGAGGATCCATTTAGACATCATGGCTCATAGCCCTTGATCAACCCATTCTACCCTGTGGGATTTGTCTAATCCTGTTTTGTTTGGGATTTTTAAAGCTGTCTGTGCTGATGCCTGTTCCCACATCTTGGGGCTGTGAGTTCCGTCGGTTAACGATTGGGACCTGTGAGCTTATGAGTGGTGGCTTTAAGAGCCGAGATGTCCTCCTGGCTCTTTCTTCTGCCATGCTCAAGTCTCTTCACTGCTGTGTGCCTCACTTTCCCCTCTCCTCTAGAGGAAAAGGAGGGGGGTCTTATAAATGATCTGCCTCTCACAAATGCCCTAAAATATCCACAGTGGAAATCTTTGTTTAAATAGCCCTTTGGAAATTTGTATGTTTTGGCTCCTGGTAAATGGCTCCACGGTGCATCTCTCCATATATAGATATAAATATATAAAAGATAGTGTGTGTGTGTGTGTGTGTGCGCGCGCGCGCGTGTGCGCGCACACACACGTGCACAAATACACACGCACTGTGCTGGTATACAAACATACCCACAACTCCTCTTCTGAATAATTCATGCAAAGGGAGCCGATATGCAAATTCATGAACTTCTGCACAACCTGAGATCTCACTTTGCACTGAGCAAATTCATGAACTTTTGCACAACCTGAGATCTCACTTTGCACTGAGCAAGTCCTCCTGCAGAGTATTAAAACACCAGCCGTCCCAAAAACCTTGTTTCCTCCTGTGAAAGCTGGATTGCAGCCTGATCCAGGGAGGAGGAAAGCTTTCCTACACCTGATAATTTCAGTGTCCTTAGGTGAGCCTAGCTCAATGCTGCATTGAGGTGCTAGCCTAGAGGATTTTCTCATCTTTGCAGGGTGGTGGATGTCAAAGTCAGTTCCTAGCATCGAAGCAGAATGGCAAAAAGAGGAAAGACGACTAGATTCTGCCACAAGGTGGTGCTGTTACATGAGTTTTCCACTTTTTCTTGTTAAGAGTTTCTTTTAAACTAGGCTTAAAAAAAATAGTGGCTTTCGAAGTCTCTTTTGTGTTCCTACTGATTTTCCCATAAAATGTGGCATAGGACTGCATGAACGCAAATCGCAGCCACACCATACATTCCTACATTGCAGGGGTTGTACTAGATGACCCTCAGAGTCCCCTCTAGCTCTGCAACTCTATGATTTACACAGCACACGGTCCCTCTAAAATCCTGGGAATGCTAGGTTACATATCAGAACTACAATTCCCAGCACCTTTAACAAATGGCAGTACCCAGGATTTTTGAGGAGAAGCCATGGAATCATAGAGTTGGAAGGGATTCCAAGAGTCACGTAGCCCAATGCCTTGCAAGGCAGGAATCTCAACATGTGGCCCCCAATCCAATCTGAAACCATACCAGCTTTGCAAATGTGCTGCAGTTTTATTGCTGAACCACTAGGAATTGTGCATAAGAAATGTGGTGTGGATGCGACCTGAAATTCATTGCCTAGAGCTGGAGGGGGGGACGGGACCTGTGCCCTCTCCCATTGTTGGGAATACATCTCCCATCATTGGCTGTTTTTAGAGTACGTAAAAGCAACCACTGTCCACTCTCAGTGGAGCCCGTGTTCCCTCCCTTTCTTCAGGAGTCTGGTTGAAAAAGAGGCAGACTCAGAGCAGCAGCTCATACAGAGATGCGACAGGCAGCCCCCCTTGTAGGCCCCTCTCTGTGGTGGCAGTGATGGGATAAAGCAATTCCACCATGGCACGTGTACCTACCTACACAGGCTGGCCTTTTTCCTCTCCCCCAGAGCAGTATATCATACAGAGATGCAGCAGGAAACCTCCTCTGAAGCCACCTGCTCTGGGATTTTTCTTTGATTAATTCAGTTTTTCCACATCAAAGTTTGGGAATTACTGCTTTAGTATAAGAGATGTGTCTTCTATAAATACTATCAAACTCTGTGGGGATTTGAACAGAGGCTCTTCAGATTTCCTGCAGCAAGCCAGCTGCGGCTTTGACTACTACTGCTGTATTTAAATATTTACGGGGTAGGAATGCCCTCTACAATTGCTTAAATGACACAATTTTTACTACGTCTCATTTTAAAAGTTGTTTTTGTAAGTGAACACTGGAAATAAAACTTTTTAAATTTTATAAATGATTTTTTTTTTTTAAGAAATAAAAGTCTCACCCTTGCAATAAGTAGAGGAAAATGTTTTAAATGTCATTATATTTTGGTATTTGTTTTTCCTCAAAAAGAAAAGAATCAGTAATATATTCCTTTGCTTGTTTCCTTGGTTAATATCCTGCCTTTCATCAGTTCCACTGATCATAGGGTGGGTTACATCTTAACCAGGGATGTATCTGTGTGTTTTGGTTCTCTCAACTTACAATTTTTCCAATCAATTCAGTTCACATTTCTGCAGCAATCTGCAATTTTTTAAAAATCCTCAAGAAAATCCACCAACATTTTAGTGTGAATTTCTCCTCATTTTTGTGTGCAATTTCACCTAATATACAGTCGTAGCGTGAAAGTGGAACAGCATCCGTTCCAGAAGTCCATTCTGGCAGATGGCCAGCCAACCTCTGCTTAAAAACCTGTGAAGGAGAGTCTACCACTCCATTCTGCTGTTAAACCCTCACAGTGCTACAGTCCCAGAGTGTTAACAGTCAGTCCCTCTTTCCGGGGAACTGTGGGAATTGCAGCTCTGTTAAGGGGAATAGCGGGTCTCCTCTACTAACCACTCTCAGCACTCTTAGTAAATGACACTTCCCAGGATTCTTTGGGGAAGGCCATGACTGCTTAAAGCTTGTCATGTGACCTGTCAGCTGGTTTTCAGGCCTTACAAAGTCACAGCTTCTCAAATAATCCTGGGAACTGTGGTTTGCTAAGGATTCTGGGAGTTATTAGGAGAGCCCTATTCCCCTCCCAGAGATCCTTGATGGTTAAACCACGTTGAGAGTTGTATTTGTGAGGGTGGGGAAAGGGGTCAACTCTCAGCACCTTTAACAGCCTCCCAGAATTCGGAACTACGGTTGTTTAAAATGTTTAAATGTATAGTGCAGATGGAGCCCTATTCTAGCAGTTGGGAAGGTCAGAGGGATCCCAGCTGTTCTGAGATAGCATTCTAGGAAAAGTCTGGGCCGAATGAGCTTTTGTTTTCCCGTCAGCCCAGTGACTCTGGCCTCCTCCCCTCTGCACGCAAGCTGCTGTTCTTATCTGGGCCCATGTGCTGAGGACCCACAGGGTCACCATAACACAGCAATGCTCTCTGATGTCATGCCCCTAGCAGACTGGAGAACAGCAAATGCATCCCCTTCTCATGGTGCAACCAGAGCAATCAATCTCTTGTCTCCTTGAACAGAACGGCCTGGGCAGCCCCCCAACTGCTTCATCCAAAGATAAAAGCAAAATATTCTTCCCACAACCTACTCTTCTGACAACATAAACCAAGGGAAAAGAATGTCCAAGGCTGATGTGAAGAAGGGAGTTCTCCCAACTGTGATGTAAAGGGATGTCAACAGGCCGGCGTGACCCAGCGGGAAGGATGCAAGAGGCACTGCGCAACCTGTTGTGATCACCAGGTGGCGCCACTTGAAAAAACTAAGGTCTTCAAGAGAGACCATTGGTCCTGCTGGCTCAATGTTGTCTGCGTTGAGGGTCACCCCCATGATCATTCTGCTTGCCCATTTCTGAACCTTTTCCAACTCTACGATATCCATTTTGAGGTGAGGCGACCAGAACTGTGAACAGTATTACAAATGCAGTTGCACCACAGATTTGTGAAATGTCATTTTTATTTTCTATTGCTTTCTTAATGATCCCTAGCATGGAATTTGCCTTTTTCACGGGCTGCCATTACTGAGATTTGTAAACCACGCTGAGGGTCTTTTATCTTCCCTAGCAGAAGAGGAGAAAAGAACATGCTTTTAAAAGAATGAAGAATAAACAAGACTGCAGAGGGCTAGAGTCTTTAAAAAGACATTTTAACTCAATACAGTGGTACCTCGGGTTAAGAACTTAATTCGTTCTGGAGGTCCGTTATTAACCTGAAACTGTTCTTAACCTGAAGCACCACTTTAGCTAATGGGGCCTCCTGCTGCTGCCGCGCCGCTGGAACACGATTTCTGTTCTCATCCTGGAGCAAAATTCTTAACCCAAGGTACTATTTCTGGGTTAGCGGAGTCTGTAACCTGAAGCGTCTGTAACCCGAGGTACCACTGTACCTGCATAGGCTTGTGCAAATAATATGCACAGACAGCTGGGTGGATTTTATGAGCTGAATATTGTCACCTGTTCCTTGCTTTCCTGCATGTCAAGTAATTCAGTGCTATGTAAGTTTGCTTTCTTTTGGCCGAGACTTTAAAAGCTTTTGTTGTTGTAAAATTTGCTATACATACAACTTTGCAAGTCGCCAAAGCCTGCACACAGAGTGTTTGGCTCTCTCCCAAACTTCAACTGCTGATTGTCACATATCCCTGCACCCTCCTCTCTGACAGGGTTGCCACTTTCCCCAAGCTCTGATGGGCATCTCATTCCAAAACAGAGAGATCCCCAGTTATCAGGAGACCATCTCCCACCCATTAGCTCCTATTGATGGAAACATCAGTCAACCCCACCCCCCACCCCGGCTATTAACTTCCAGTCTTTGTAGCAAGGGAATGATATGCCACCATGTAACTGTCTATGAAAAACCAGAGGTTTGATTACCAAAGGAAGGTGCTGGAAATCAAGACACACTCTGGAAATGATTCTTTCTGATCAGGAAGCTCTGCCCTGTAAGGAGCCATCAGTCCTAAATGTGTTTACTCAATAATAAGTGTTTCTGAGCTTGACACCCTCTTTCAGTGTGATATGGATTGCAGCCTAAATCTCCAGATGCAAGAGGCCCTGCCTCTGGTTTCTCATTCATGATTGAAATTTACTCTGCATGAAATTAGAAGCACTCTCTTATTCCTTTTCTATGTTCTGGAGTTGAGTCTCCCTGTCTGACAGCTAGTTTTAAACCTAGTGTTCCACTAGCATCTGGTTCTCTGAGATATACTGCTTGTATATATGGAGACTTTGCTTAGCTTTCAGAGCTGTGCAGTTATTTATTACATTTATATTCCCTTTCTTCCAAGGAGCTCAAGGTGGCACACTTGTGTCTTCCCCCTTTCCTACTTTTTATCCTCACAACAACCCTGTGAGGTGGTTTATGTTGAGAGCAGCTGTCCCTGTCTTCTCCAATGAGAACTAAAAGAGTGCCCTTCCCTCACCTGCTTCCTGGTCTGCTTTTTGGTACCAGTACCTCTGAGCACATGCAGAATGCACCTGACTCACCACGGTTTTTTCTCCTGGCCCACAGAGATGTTGAACCTGGGACTTTCTGTGTTCAAAGCTAACGCTGAGCTAAGGTCTTTCCTTGGAAGTAAGCCTCATTTGAATGCAGAGAGACTTTTACCTCCGAGTAAACATGGATAGGGATGCAGGTGGCGCTGTGGGTTAAACCACAGAGCCTAGGACTTGCTGATCGGAAGGTCGGCAGTTCAAATTCCCGCAACGGGGTGAGCTCCCGTTGCTCGGTCCCTGCTCCTGCCAACCTAGCAGTTCGAAAGCACACCAGTGCAAGTAGATAAAAAGGTACCGCTCCGGCGAGAAGGTAAACGGCGTTTCCATGCGCTGCTCTGGTTCGCCAGAATGGCTTAGTCATGCTGGCCACATGACCCGGAAGCTGTACGCCGGCTTCCTCGGCCAATAAAGTGAGATGAGCGCCACAACCCCAGAGTCGGTCATGACTGGACCTAATGGTCAGGGGTCCCTTTAAAGGTAAGGTACCCCTGCCCATACGGGCCAGTCGTGTCCGACTCTAGGGTTGTGCGCCCATCTCACTTAAGAGGCCGGGGGCCAGCGCTGTCTGGAAACACTTCCGGGTCACGTGGCCAGCGTGACAAAGCTGCATCTGGCGAGCCAGCGCAGCACACGGAAACACTGTTTACCTTCCCGCCAGTAAGTGGTCCCTATTTATCTACTTGCACCCGGGGGTGCTTTCAAACTGCTAGGTTGGCAGGCGCTGGGACCGAGCAACGGGAGCGCACCCCGCCCCGGGGATTCGAACCGCCGACCTTTCAATCGGCAAGTCCTAGGCACTGAGGTTTTACCCACAGCGCCACCCGCGTTCCAGGGGTCCCTTTACCTTTACCTTTAACATGGCTAAGGGTATGTTGTAAACATACCTGAGCATCAAGTGCCATTGACTTCCATAGAATTTACTCCCAGGAAGGCGTGCATCATTGGATCTCAACCTCCTTGTCTATACTGTATATAGCTGACCTGAACGTAAATGCTGTATTGATTATAAAGAATTTGCTCCCAAGAAAAGCATGCACTGAACTGCATTGTAGCCTTGCTCCTTATGAGTTTGATCCTCAACTGCCCATCACTGAGTTCAGCGGCGTTTACTCCCAGATAAGCATGCTTTGCAATTGTACTAAGTAGCTGGTATACTCAGAGTAGACTCATTGAAATTAATGGTCCGTAGGCAGCGTGGTGTAGTGGTTAGAGTGTTGAACTAGGACACCGAAGACCAGCTGCTGCCTAGCAACCTACCCTACCTCACAGCCTTTGTTGTGGGGGTGAAATGGGGGACACCCAACCATATACACCACCTTGAGCTCCTTGGAGGAAAAGGTAGGCTATAAATGCAGTAAATAAATAAGCCGATGCCTTGAATTTCAACGGGTCTACTCTGGAGTAGAAGTTACTTGGATCCGATCTTAAGACTGCAACCCGATCTGCATTGGTAACTTGGAGGCAAGTTCCACGAAAACGCGACGGAGGGGCTTACTCCCGAGTAAACCGGCTTAGTTCTGTGTGCCGTGTGAACCTACCTTGAGCGCCTGCATTCCTAAAACCCTTATTCCCACGTAAGGGTGTGCCCTTTCGGATGACTTCGACGGTGACTACGGCGATTATTATTATCGATCTCATTTAAAAAATCGTTTCCCACGGAGCATCTCATCAAAGCAATTAAGCTCGCCACGCAAGAATACCATCCAGAAAACAGTTAATTACTATCAATTTCCTCTGTGAATCGTTTCCCACGGAACATCTCAGACCAGTTGTTTCCTCCACAAAAACACCTCGACGACAATTGCATCTCTGAAAAAAACAACTGGAACTATTTGCATAGAATGAAAACAACAGCAACTATCGCCCACGCCAGGGATGGACAGCGTGGCGCCCACCCGATATTGCTCGGGCCCCCGAACGCCTAGCGGTACCCCAGCGGCTTGCATGCCCAATAGTCAGGGACGGTGGGAGTTGTAGTCCCAATATACCCCTGGAGTATGCACTCGTAGTCCTTTATTTCGTTTATTTCTATCCCACCTTTTTCTCCCAAGGAGCTCAAATAGGATGGCATGGTTCTCTCCCCACCCTCCATTTAATCTCCACAACAACCCTGCAGAGAGGCAGTGGCCGGTCCAAGGTCTCACCCAGTGAGCTTCATGACCGAGTGGGGGATTTTGAACCCAGGCCCCCCAGCTCCTAGTCCTGGGAACTGTAGTTTTCCTCGGAGTTACAATTCCCAGCACCCTTAACAAACTACAGTTCCCAGTGGGGGTTTTTTGGGAAGGGAGTCATATGCTTTCAGCGTCCTTTATTTATTTTACTCATTTATCACATTTCTATCCCACCTTTTCCTCCCAAGGAGCTCAAATTGGCCTATATGGGTCTTACCCAGTGGGCTTGATGGCCGAGGGGGGCGGATTTGAACCCGGGACTCTAACCAGTGCACCGCACTGCCTTTCATGTGCCGGGATTGCTTCAACATACGCTGCAATTCCCAGCTGACGCGTAAAGATGAACCCGTGCGGTTCCCATAGGAGTTTTACTCCCGGGGAAGGAAACGTGCGTGCATTGCATCGCTGGGATCCAGTCCTTTGCAATCGCCCGGCCCCTCCCCTCTGCGCCCTGCCCTCTTGTCTCCTTTAAGAGGAGGAGCTGGGCCGGGCAGCTGGGAGGTTATTTGGAGCCCATGTGACGCGACGCTGCTCGGCTTCTTAGTAGCGGAGACTCTGGCCTGGCGTCGGATTCAAGGCGGGGAGCGCTGGGAGTGAAGGCGATCCGAGAGACCCGGGGCTTCGCTGCCGCCTTCGTCGTCCACGGAGTTTGCAACCCACCCCGAGGTACATGCTCCGAGCTCGTGTGCATGCACGCACAGAGAGAGAAAAAGAGACTTGCAATATTGCTCGCAAGACTCTTTGGCCGCTTTGTTCAGGGTAGGAGGAGGAAAAAGAACCCAACTGTCCTGCAACCGCAGAGTTGACGATAAGCCTTATTTTGCAACCCCTGCCAACAAAACCTCTGATCCATGAGCAGGCTTCGGGAGGAATAATAAAAAAAAAATCTACCTCGGAATGGTGTGCCCCGGATTTGTTGGGAGGTAAGACCGGAAAGTGGTGGGATATGTCCGCGAAAGGGAGTTGTGTTTTCCCCCCTACCCCTCCCTGTTCCTGTAAACTTGGAGTCTCTTGATTCGGAGTCGCTGCCCCTTTAGCTGCGTGTGAATGCAGAAGAGTTTTCATCCTCTCCGGATCAATGGATTCGCTGAGTGTTTGACTCGCCCTGATGTTGTTGTAAGGGGCTGAAAGCTCTTTAGCAAAATAAAAATGCCCTTTTGGTTATTTCTTTGCTTTTGAAATGGCATAATGTTGAGACAGCAGTCTTGGGGACACTTCCTTGCCTCTTAAAAAAATCCTGTCCGTGTGTCTTTTTTACTAAGTAAGTACAGGATCGTGGTATGAATCGTCTTGCAGAAAGAAGTGCGGCTGTGGGATAATTTTGGAGCTGACAAACCCTGGGATGGCCTTATGTATGTTCCAAAAAGTTGAGCAAATTGGCGATTTGGTGTGTGTGTTTGTTAAAAGCCAGGAAAAACATTTATTTCTTCCTACTCCTGGCTGCCTGTATAACCGATTCCTGAAAGCCACAATCCAGCACTTCTAGGAAGCTGCTTTCTTCTAAGTCAGATCTTTGCTCAGTATTGTCTACTCTGGCTGGCAGCTGTTCCTCTGGGGCTTCTGTCTTCCCAGCCCCGCTTGGAGAGGCTGAGAATTGTACCTTTGGCATTCAGAGCCAAGTGTTTTCCTGCTGAGCCACAGTTCTTCTCATTGGGAGTTTTGATTCCCATTGATCATAGACCCTCCCATTGAAATTGTAATCGGAAAGGGTGACAGCTGGATCTCACTCTGGGCGTGTGGTTTTTATTAGATCTTTGCACGACTAGAAGTGGCAGCGCTTTGACAGATATTTCAGGCATTCTCAAGGTCTCTTAAAACAGTTGCTCTTACAGAAGCAAACTTAACTTGACTCTCAGATGCTCATGTGGGCACTTTCCCCCCTTTCTGCCTGCTCGATCTTCCCATCAACCTTGCGAGGTAGGCCTCTGGGGAGCCACCGTTCGCACCGGTGTCTGGTTTCTGCATCCTATCTGGAACTGGCCTCCTTGAGAAAACACTTCTGAAAAAGCATTTGGTGCCATCGTCATGTTTCCCAGACCCTGGGAACCTTCCAAACTTCGGATGCTTTTCCATTCTCTCTGTACATCTGGAGAATGACTTGCCACAGGCCACCCACCAAGCCACTGGGCTGAGCTGGGGATCCAGCTGCCCTGCTGCTGAATCCCTATAGAAAGGGGCTCGGAAATATCTCCGTGGGGCTTGCTTGTTTGGGGCAGGAGTGGAGTGAAGGGAGGAGAACAACCAGCATTTGAAAAGTTGGAGCCTGCCTGATTGCTTTTGCAAAAGCGTTTGCTGTTACCCAGGAGCTCCAGATGTTTTTGTTTAGACCGCAGCTCCCATCAGCCTGGGGCCTGTTCTTCTGCATCCTTTACCTGTGTCTCAAATTCAGCTCATGGGGCAGCTGTGTAGCTTGGTGGCAGAGCACATGCTTTTCATGCAGAATGTCCCACTTCCAATCCCCTGTCTCCCCAGGCAGGCCTGGGAGAGACTCCCTGTTGGAAAGCCTGGCGAGCTGCTGCCAGTCAGTGCAGGCAGTGCTAAGCTAGATGGTCAGAGGTCCTGACTTCTCCCAGCAGTTCTGCGAGACAGAGAGGTTGCAGTGAGCGATTTGCCTGCTCTTGCGCCCTTTATGACCCCCTCCCCCCGACTTTGCTTCTTTCTCCGAAGTGTGTCGGGGGTGGAATCCCTATTTTGTATGTCCATTTCTATTAATCAGGTTAGCTTTTAGTTGATTGAATTTGACTGGATCTGCAGGTAAGGGTTGTTGTTTTTTACAAAAAGGTTCAGAAGCAGAAATCATAAAAAAGGTGTTTACACCACAGGTAGCCAATGTGGTGACTTACAGGTGTTGCAGGACTACAACTCCCATATCCCCTGACTATTGGCCACACTGACTGGGGCGGATGGGAGTTGTTAGTCCACCACCATCGGAAAGGTAGCAGATTCCCTCGCTGCGAGAAGCCGAGTTACAGGGAACCAGGCAGAAGGCCTTCTCGGTAGTGGCACCCGCCCTGTGGAACACCCTCCCACCAGATGTCAAAGAGAAAAACAACTACCAGGCTTTTAGAAGACATCTGAAGGCAGCCCTGTTTAGGGAAGCTTTTAATGTTTAATAGGTTATTGTATTTTAGTGTTTTGTTGGAAGCCGCCCAGTGTGGCTGGGGAAACCTGGCCAGAAGGGCAGGATATAAATAATAAATTATTATTATTATTATTATTATTATTCTTTCCCGGCCATGTTTAATTAAATTAAAAGCCAGAGCAGGCACTCGTGCAGAGACACAACAGCGAGCCTCCTTTTTCTGGATGGTGCTCCCAGCTCCAAGGAGCCTTTAGACCAGAACCTGTGGACCCTCTGGGTGCTGCTGAACTAAAACTCGCACCATTCCTGACCATTGAGCATGCTGACTGGGTATGATGGGAATTGGAGTCCAACATTAGGAGATCCAAAGTTCCCTACTCCTAATTTAGATGGTGAATATACATGTCTTAAATATATTGTTGAGGAAACACATTCCTTTATAGATGTGAAGGCAGGGATGCCTCTTCTAGGATGGTGCTTACGACCTGCAATACCTTGAATTACTTGCATGGGGGGGGGGAATCTGCCTGATTTTAGGGGAGCTTCTTGAAAGTTTTTTTATATGCACCTAGTAGCTGAAGTGTTTTAAAACATCACAGCCCTATCCCCGCCCTCCCCACCATATTACATATTTAGAGAGAATATATATTGTCTTTCTCATAAAAATACATTTGTTTTGTAAAAAAGAAAAACAAACCATAGTGTGGAAAACCATAGCTTCTGCCTTTGAGGTGTGTGTTCAATGAAAGTATTCTGCTAGGACCCAACGCTTTGCCAGTGGTGTCTTTCCCAACCTGGTGCCCTCCAGATGTTTCAGAAGTGAGCGCCCATTGGGGTGGGTGATTTCTGGTTTGCTACATCGCGATATATCACCAGCTAAACATGGTTCAGTGGAACAATGTAGAGGCGAGTCCATCAACTGTGTCTGAGGCTGATGGAAGTTGTGGTCCAAAACATCTGCACCACATCTGGCTGGCCTGGCCCTGCACGTAGTATAAGGAAGACTGATCTGTCAGCTAGGATGCTTCCTGTTCAGGTCCTGTTCATGCTGCCTTGTCGACTGAATTTGTGCCAGTTGCTCTCAGCAGTACAACAGCTTTATAGGTATTGAAGCCATGGCATGTGAAGGAGTCCAAACCACTTGAAAGATAAGGGGACAGAGCATCTGCTTTGCATGCAGAAGGTCCCAGGTTCAAACTCCAGTGTTTCCAGGTAGGGCTGGGAAAGAGTCCTGGCTGAAACCCTGGTGAGCTGCTGCCAGCCAGTGTAGACAATATTGAACTAGATGGACAACTTGCCTGACTTGGTATAAGGCAGTTTCCTATGTTCCTTGAAGCCAGATGCCCAAATCACTACCTCTTTCTCTCACCTTCCAAACATTAATCTGCGAACTTCCCTGAGACCCCCAGGTATAGGGCGGTATATAAAATCAATTATTATTATTTAATTAATAAATACCGTATTTTTCTGTGTATAACACGCCCCCATGTCTAAGATGCCCCCCCCCCCTATTTTGGGGGACTCCAAATTGAGAAAATGGAGGGAGATTGTATCCATGTAGAAGACGGCCCACAATTTTGAAAAGAAATTTTAAATAAAAAAACCTAGTCTTATACACAGAAAAGTATGGTAATTTACGACCTTGTAGCCTTAAGAGAGAGGAGTCAAGCGCATGATACTTCTTGTGAAAATCTGGCTTCTAATTTTTTTTTTTTAAAATTGCCGTTCTGCTGTTGGATTGTCTCTAACTTTTAAGTCCTGCTCCAAGTAGACCCATTGAAATGAATGGGCTAGAGGTGGTTCCTGGCCATTCATTTTGAGGGGTCTGCTAGTGAGTAGGACTAGCAGTGAGTACAGCCGGTTGTCTCACCCATCTTGCAGTGCTGACCTGATGAAGGTGCCAGAGGCCATTCTTCTCGTGAGAAATTTGCAGCTGAGGGTTGGGAGGGCGCCCTGTAATTGTCCCCAACGATTAGCTGCAGGGTTGAGCAACAGCATGCTTCTTTTTATCGGCAGGCCGAAGCAATTAGCATGTTGCAGAGAAACACTTCCCAGCCAGAGGTCAGGGCGTTCTGCAGGTGAGATCGCTTCAGCTTTCAGAGTAAAACAGAAACAAACAAAAGTCCGACCTCGAAGGGAGAGCAGTATTTATTTAGTATGTGTGCTGAGTCACAGAGGGGTCCCGGTGACAGGTCTAAGAAATCTTCTAGAGAAAGTATGCCATGCAGCCAATTTCGCAATGCGCCCAAGTCACAGCAGCACAGGAAACTTGCCTTCTATTGAGTCAAGCGATTGGTCCATCTAGTTCAGTGTCAACTACACTGACCAGGAATGGTCCTTTCAGCTGGGGCAGAGAAATCCTGGTTCTGAGAGCTGCCTGGGAAGCTGGCGTGTTGTACGTTTACTTACAAGCGCAGGGGCGTCTCTGGCCCTCCAAGCCTTTCTCTGTGGCCCCTGGAGTTCTCTCCAGGCCACGCCCCTCGTCACACTCTCCATAGGAACCTAGGAAAAGCTTGACTTAGACCCTTGGTCCATCCAGCTAGCTCTATTGGGGGCAAGAGAATCCAGCGAGAACTTTCTCTTCCTGTAACTTCAGGTCTGGCAGTAGACGCATTTAACTAAAACCTGAAAAGGCCTTTGTCTTAGAGTTGGAGAACAGCATGTCTTATCCAAGGAACAAGACAAGTGTGCTAATTTATTACTAGGAAGCAAGATGCGATCTTCGGTTCGTTCTTTCTCTCTCTCTCCCTGTCCTGTCCCGAACCCAGATGACCCCGGTTTCCTTGTGTGACTTGCAGGGCCTCTAATTGCTTCTGTGCCTGGTTTCCCCTCTTCCTCTATACTGTCTTGTGCAATGCATGGCTCTGGGCGGGGCATGCACCCTCCTCCAGCGCACCATGTGCAATGCTCAGTGCAAGTGGCGCTCTTAAACCTGTCGGATGACCTGCTCACATCAGCAGATGGGGTGGCATAGGCGTCAGGCCAAAGGAGGTCCATGTAGCCAGGGACCCTGTCCTCACAGTCGCCAGCCACATGCCCCAGTGGGAAGGAGGACCTGAGCGCATCAGAATTCTCCCCACCTGTGATTTTCAGCAAGCAGGGTTCAGAGGCACAGAGTGCAGGTTGATCAAACATAGCCATTGTGGTCCGTAGATTTCTCCACGGACCTCTGTAATCTTCCTTTAAAGCCATCACTACATGTCAAGGGAGGAACGCGGGTGGCACTGTGGGTTAAACCATAGAGCCTAGGACTTGCCGATCAGAAGGTTGGCGGTTCGAATCCCCGCAACGGGGTGAGCTCCCCTTGCTCGGTTCCAGCTCCTGCCAGCCTAGCAGCTCGAAAGCATGTCAAAGTGCAAGTAGATAAATAGGTACCGCTCCAGCGGGAAGGTAAATGGCGTTTCCGTGCACTGCTCTGGTTCGCCAGAAGTGGCTTAGTCATGCTGGCCACATGACCCGGAAGCTGTACGCCGGCTCCCTCGGCCAGTAAAGCGAGATGAGCGCCACAGCCCCAGAGTCGGTCACGACTGGACCTAATGGTCAGGGGTCCCTTTACCTTTACCTTACATGTCAAGGGAGTGAATTCCGTAACTATGCGCTGTGCTAAAAAACAAAAGCCTGTCATGGATTTCCCACAGTTCATCTTCATTGAATGATCCTAATCTTATGACGGAGAAGCACGTCTCTCCGTTTTTCATGTTGATCTTTACTAAACCTTCATTGTGTGGGTGTGTCTGTCCTGACCTGTTTATTTATAACCCATCTATTTCTCCAAGGAGCTAAAGGTGGAGTGCATGGTTCTCCCTCTCCTCATTTAATCCCCACACAACAACCCTGTGAGGCAGGGATTGGCCCAAGGTTGGCTCAGGGAGCTTCATAGCCAGTCAGGGGATTTGAATCCTGATCTCCCGGGTCCCAGTCCAATAATGCAACCACTGTACTTTAATAAAACCTATGGGGGAAAACCAAAACAAACTCCAGCTCCCAGAATCCTTTTGGGGGAAGCCATTGCCGCTGCTTAAAGTCACATGACATTGTTTTAAGCATAGAGTGCAGATAGGCAACTGGAAGGGGTTTAAAGTAAGAGCCGCGCTTCCATGGAAAAGCAAAAGTGGGGGGAATGTTTGGTGGGTGTTTGGAGGCTGCGGCTGACACGTTCCAAACGAATTTCTGTCTTTTCTCTTCTTGATTCTTAAATGCCCACTTATGGCAAGGAATCGTGCATGCCAGACTCAATAGTGCAGCAGCCATGAACAGTGACTCTGTTGTGCCATCTGCAACTTTGGCTGTGCTCTTGTGTTGTTTTTTTGGCAGGGGGAGGTTTGTTCAGTCTTGCTTCAATGCATCCCTGCAGAAGAACGCAAGAAGAGCCTGCTGGATCAGGCCAGTGGCCCATGCAGTTCAGCATCCTGTTCTTTCAAAGGCCGTGCAGGTTTCCCACTGAAACATCTGGACCTGATCAGAACACATCACTCTCCCCTGGTTTCCAGCATCTGGTATTCGGAAGCTTGCCTGTCTCCAACTACGGAGGGTAGAGCTTAGCCATCCTGGCTAGTAGCTGACTATAGCTTTCTCCATGAATTTGTCTAAGCCACCCTGATTAGTGGCCATCCTTGTGGGAGGGAGTTCCACAGTTGAACAATAAGTCATTTTTTTCATCTGTCCTGAATCCTCCATTATTCAACCTCGCTGGATGTCCAAAATTTCTTGTGTTATGATAGAGAAATAAAAACTTGCTCCCCATCCACTTTCTCTGCGCTGCCACCTCTTCTATCATGTCATCTCTTACTTGCCTTTGAATCTACTTAGAGATGCAACAGGCTTGGAATAACTATCAAACTAAGCTGGGGGTTCCCAAAACTGTGGTTCAGAGACCACCAATGACCCACAAGCTTCATTCAGGGGGTCTGTGGCACGCCTGCATCAAATATTTGTATTAGATTTCTTATACCTTGAATTTCATTGCATCACAATTTGATTTGCGGGATGCACATTGTAATGCGATAAGACTGCAATATATGGGAAATAAAAGGAGCAATAAAAAATGCAGTTAGAAATCATACAGTTCCTAGCACCGAGTGTTACAACTGTTGCATCAAGCGGCAAAATTGTTAAGTCGTCCACTAAGACCACCTGCAATTTTCAAGTGCTTTGTGGGCGCAGAAAAGTTTGAGAACTGCTAGGCTAGGTCATTTTTTTAAAAAATTGTTAGCTGAGTGTCCTCTCCCCTTGGTTTTGCTTTTCTACAAAGGTTTTTGGTGGGAGGCATTCGCACAATAGAAAATAGTCCACTGTAGACAAAACAATGAAATGGTATGTCCTTTATAATAATAAGCAGCAAGATATTTTTAAAAGGAACATCAACAGGTGGTTGTGATGGAGTTCTATCGCAAACATCTGCAGATGCGTCAGGGATATTAATTAGAAGCTAATGTGAATTCCGGAGGGGCCATAGCTCAGTTGATAAAGCATCTGCTTTGCAGACAGAAGGTCCCAAGTTCAATCCCTGGCATCTCCAGGTAGAACTCGGAACATCTCCTGCGTGAAACCCTGGAGAGCTGCTGCCAGCCAGTGTAGGCAATACTGAGGTAGGTGGACCGACAATCTGACTCGGCATAAGGCACCTTCCTATGTTCTTAATAAATATGGTGTTGAAAGACTAAAAGAGAGCAGCAAGCCAGGTGAATCAGCAGCCCCAAGCAGTGTGGGACAGTCCTGGCACCACCACCAAGAAGCCATTGCCTATTGTGCCTCAGCTCTATGAATGCCAGTTTTTGTGTGGTGCATGGACTGCTCTGCAGATCCTTCTGCTAGACTTTGCAACAAATTACATCAAGCAGCTTTTCTTCTGGTTAATGCCTCCTGCTAAACCATGGTTTGTTTAAGCTGTGGTTTATTTTAACAGACCATGTTTCTCCAGGGTTTGGGTCGTTTTCCAGCTCCTCATGCCTTTGTAGCTTGGCGTGAGTCTGTGGCAGGATGGGGGGGACATTGTTAAGAGATGGTACTGGGTTCACGTGTAACAACTCAGCCACAATTAGGCAAATCAAGACTCATCAACTGACAACAAGCCATGGTTCTTTATGCGCCCCCTCGCCCAGCTTGTCCGGAGTTTTGGGCTGGGTTGCCATCAGTATGCCGATGACACCCAACTCTATCTGTTGATGGATGGCCATCCTGACTCGGCCCCAGACACACTGACCAGATGTCTGGAAGCTGTGGCTGGATGGATACGTGGGAGCCAGCCGGTTGAAGTTAAATCCTTTGAAGACAGAGGTCCTCTGGCTTGGACGGGGCGATATGGGATTGAGGGGGCAACTCCTATCTCTTGCGGGGGTGCAATTAGTGTCAGCATCGTCCATTAAGAGTTTGGGTGTAATCTTCGATACCTCCCCCTCTATGGAGGCGCAGATTACAGCTATAACAAAGGCGGCATTTTTTCATCTCCGCCAAGCTAAGCAGCTGGCTCCTTATCTCTCTCGCCCTGACCTAGCCACTGTGATCCACGCGACGGTCACCTCCAGATTGGATTATTGTAACTCGCTCTACCTGGGGCTGCCCTTGAGACTGACCCAGAAACTCCAGCGGGTGCAGAATGCCGCGGCGAGACTCCTTATGGGGTCTTCGCTGCGAGATCATATTCATCCGGTACTATACCAGCTGCACTGACTCCCGGTGGAGTACAGGATCAGGTTTAAGGTGCTGGTTTTAAAGCCCTATATGGCCTAGGACCCTCGTACCTACGGGACCGCCTCTCTTGGTATGTCCCACAGAGAAATTTACGGTCTGCAAATAAAAACATCCTGAAGATCCCAGGCCACAGAGAGGTTAGGCTGGCCTCAACTAGAGCCAGGGCTTTCTCGGCCGCGGCTCCAATCTGGTGGAACAGCTCTGTCACAAGAGACTAGGGCCCTGCGGGACCTGACATCTTTCCGCAGGGCCTGCAAGACAGAGCTGTTCCACCAGGCCTTTGGTCAGGGCGCAGCCTGACCCCCTCCTCTGGCAATCTGCACAGAATTTTGCTTAGTGGTTGCCATCAATTTGATTTTAATTAATTTTATAATGAATGTTTTTAGAATGCTGGATTATTTTGATTGTTGTTAGCCGCCCTGAGCCCAGCTTCGGCTGGGGAGGGCGGGATATAAATAAAATTTATTATCATGGGTAGGCAAACTAAGGCCCGGGGGCTGGATGAGGCCCAATCGTCCTCGGCTGGTGGATGGTCCAGGAATCAGCATGTTTTTACATGAGTAGAATGTGTCCTTTTATTTAAAATGCATCTCTGGGTTATTTGTGGGGCATAGGAATTCGTTCATCCCCCCCCAAAATATAGTCTGGCCCCCCACAAGGTCTGAGGGACAGTGGACCAGCCCCCTGCTGAAAAAGTTTGCTGACTCCTGGGCCTAAGCTATTGGGCAGGGTTCATGTATGGCACTAAGCTGTAGTCTAACAAACCATTGTTTAGTGTGGCATGCAAACCAGGCAACTTGATTGGTTGGCAGGCTCACCATACTTCCATTTTAAGTCTCCCCCTTAAGAATAAATGATCCCACTGTTTGTGGAACAGAGGCTTGTTTATAGTTTAAAGTATCCCTGAAGCAGAGCATTAACTTGCATGAGTCTGACCCTTGGGCCATCTAACCCAGTGCTGTCTGCTCTGACAGGCAGCAACTCTCCAAAGTCTCAGGTAAACGGTCTTTCCTGGCACCTGTTATATGATCATCTTAACTAGAGACAAGAGGACTGAACCTTCAACCTTTGCTATGCAAAGCAAGTGCTTTTCTGCTGCTGGGGCAAGGAGCCCATTTACTGCTTAGCAAAGTGAATTTCCAAGGTGATGGATGTGAGGTGCTAAGAGCTCTTGAAAGCTGAGCGCTTTCCTGCGGTTGCACATGGAGCACTCGGTCAGCTTCCTGAGAACATTACCTTTTGAGCTCCTTTCTTTTTTCTTTTTCTTTTCAAAGTATGCAAGATTCCAGCCTTTATTGATTAAAACAAAGACCTATGGAAGCATGTGACAGTGTGCAGGCATGCTAAACTGAATTCCTGCTGGATACGATTTTGATGCCTTGCCCTGAGGTTATTGGCATCTGTCTGTCTCGACGACGGAGGAGTGCTCCTTTTGGGGGTGAATCTGTTGGAAGGTTGCAACCTGCTGCGGATGTAGAGGTTGAGACAGGAGAGACATGTTTTGTTGCAGCTGGGACAGATGAAGGTGTCTGGCTGTGCTGCTATAGATGCACCATGGCATTTCTTGTCTCTGCACTCCTCCCAGCGGTCATTCCTCCTTCGGTCAGTAATAATAAGAATGATGTTACTTTCTGCAAAATAAGCTGGATTTTGCCACCTTGCCGGCACAGCTTTGTCTCACCGTTGTGCAAGAATCTTTTTCTTGCAGTTGTGATTGTTCTGGGCTGCCAATGCATGCATGCATCCGCCTTAATTTTCCCCCCTTTCCAGTCCACCATGTTCACTAAAAAAAATAAACCTGATCGCTGCAGCCATCAGAATTTCCATTCTTTGGTTCTACAGGCACAGGTGTTGAGCAGAGCACTTTATTCCTTTGGCTGGGGGCATCACACTGCTGTGTAAACAGTGTCCGCTTACAGGCCATCCCTCTAGAATGCAAAAGGTCACTCACAGCGACGGCTTGAAAACAAGATCAGGCAGGTTTGTGCTGTGTGGGGCTGTGGTTGTGACAAGCCCCTTAGTTTCAGGACAGGGGCTCCCACTCAGGATGCCCTAGCCTTGGTCTTGCCCCCTGGCAAAGACCATGTAGTTTGTCTTCTACACTGATTTCTATCTCAGCGGTAGTTTTACAACAGCCCTGTGAGGTAAGGCATTATTCTATCCTTAGGCCCATGATGCAGTGCGATTTCTGAAGCTGTGTAGGTGTGGCTCCATAATAGTGTCTGACAATCTGAACTCTTTCAGTGGTTTATCACCATAGATTGTGGCATCAGTGCAGTTGGTTTCATTTGGTATCATATACCCCCTCAGTTAGCTTTCTTGACCCTGGTATCAGGCCTTATCCTAAAATGCATTCTGGAAGCCTTTCTGATCTCTTAAGACTTTATGTAAAGATGAGCACAGTGATCTTGTGTTACTAGCAAAATTTAATTTGTGTTTCCTATAAGAAGAATGGGCTCCACATAGACTGCAGTAAGATAAACTTTGAACTTGGCAAACAAAGATAATCAGTTAGTCATTTCTCACTAGGGTTATATTATTTCAACTATCAGCTAAGTAAGGTAAACAGAATAGCTAGCAGACAGGTAGTTGTAGGAAATGGACGATAGAACAAAGGAATATATGTGTCAGAACAAATTACTTATCCAAAATATCTTATATTGCAGGCTTCCTCAACCTTGGCCCTCCAGATGTTTTGAGACTGCAATTCCCATCATCCCTGACCACTGGTCCTGCTAGCTAGGGATGGTGGAGTTTGTAGGCAAAAAACATCGGGAGGGCCGAGGTTGAGGAAGCCTGTTATATTGCAACGTTGCTGTCCAATAAACCAACTTTATGGGGTTATAAGATTAAGGGTAAACAAATATCTATAAAAGATGCATGTCATAACTCTAGCAAAATGTCCCAAACCTGTTAGTAATGTGTAGGAATACACACGAGTGCTGGACACACATTTAGGTTCAAACACACACCTTGTAACAGCTCTTCCATACTTCCTCACTGGAAGCTTCCCAGGAACTGCAGAGTATCCTCTGGAAGTAGAAAATAGGGTTTCTTTTAAATCAAGGGTGCGTTGTTTTTACAGCAGAAGTTCCTGATTTTTAAGAGTATCTGGATATTTTGCGTGTGTGCAAAATGGGGCATTAGAATCTGCTTACACAGTCCTCTTTGCCCAGGATTGGTCCATCTTTTCCTAGGATTGGTCCATCTTTTCCTATCCTCTTGAGTAAAAGAGGAATATCTTGGCAAAAAAGATATTCACAAAGATGTATACCAAAAAAAATATCACAAAGAGGTGAGCAAGCTTTCAGGTTCGCTAGGGCTCTTTCGCAAGCTGAATGTTAAGTAAAAAGCAGGGGGGATAATCTGAGAGAAGATGAATATACCCAAGTGCATGTTGGATTAATCTTAAAATAAAAAGGGAGGGGGTCTCTCTCCCCCTTCCCACCCCACATTTTGCTTAACTTCCAGCTTGACAAAGACTCCAGATGAGCTCTGAAGCTTTCTTCTTTTAGGATTCTTTTTAGCTCCTCCTTGCTTGATGGGTCTGGATTTTTCTCTTTCTCTCTGTAATGAGCCAATACAGATAATTTTGTTATCTCTCCCTACCTGGCATCGTAATTTTCTGTAATTGAGTTGCATAACATTGAAGGCTGATGAAGCAACCTTTTTGGAGTGTGAGTCTTCTGCCCGGACTTCTTGCCTTGAGTCCTCTGGGGGCATCCTCTTCGCCTGCTGTTTTGGTAGCTTTCTGACATTCTATAGTCCGTAGATTGTGTGGGAAGAAGGGCTGGTGATGGTGCATTGGGGTCTTCCCTCCTTGTAGAGTGTTCATGGCCTCCTGGCCTTAATTTTAAATTGGCAAACCGTTTGCCACGCCCCCAACTAGGTTAGAGGCTTTCATGCATTATTTGTAGGAGATTGATTGCGCCCTGTTTGCATCACATGTGCACAAATTGGGGTTCCAAATTCCTTTGATTCCCTGGTTTTTTTAATTACTGTTTGAAAGGAATGGTTTGTTCACGTGGAATGTGAGTGATGGTTTGTTAACATGGAATGTGAGTGATGGTTTGTTCACATGGAATGTGAGCGATGGTTTGTTCATGTGGAATGTGAGAAAGTTTTTCATGTGGACATTGCACCAAGCCACGCTAAAGCTTTGGAAAACAGGAAGCAACCTTTTACTGAGCCCAGACCATTGGCCCGTCTAGATCAGAAGTGTCTGTTTTGAATGGCAGCAACTTTTCAACGTTTCAGATAAATGTTTTCCCCAGCTTTACATGGAGAAGTCTGGGACTTTCCGCATGCAAAGCAGATGCTTGACCGCTTAGCTGCAGCTGTTCCTTAGCCATGGTTTGGTGTGATGTCAGGACTAAGCTTAACTAAGCCCTCCTAAGTGGTTGACTACAGTAGCCTGCAATTGATGGTTCTTTGGTGTCGCTTAAGAGGTCATGGCCACTGGCCATTGGTCCCATCACTTCCTGGCAAATAGAAGGGGAAGGGGAAGAAATGGAGGCAGTGAGAGATTTTACTTCCTTGGGCTCCTTGATCACTGCAGATGGTGACAGCAGTCACGAAATTAAAAGACGCCTGCTTCTTGGGAGAAAAGCAATGACAAACCTAGACAGCATCTTAAAAAGCAGAGACATCACCTTGCCAACAAAGGTCCGTATAGTTAAAACTATGGTTTTCCCAGTAGTGATGTATGGAAGTGAGAGCTGGACCATAAAGAAGGCTGATTGCCGAAGAATTGATGCTTTTGAATTGTGGTGCTTGAGAGTCCCATGGACTGCAAGAAGATCAAACCATCCATTCTGAAGGAAATCAGCCCTGAGTGCTCACTGGAAGGACAGATCGTGAAGCTGAGGCTCCAATACTTTGGCCACCTCATGAGAAGAGAAGCCTCCCTGGAAAAGACCCTGATGCTGGGAAAGATGGAGGGCACAAGGAGAAGGGGACGACAGAGGACGAGATGGTTTGATAGTGTTCTTAAAGCTACCAACATGAGTCTGACCAAACTTGCAGGAGGCAGTGGAAGACAGGAGTGCCTGGCGTGCTCTGGTCCATGGGGTCACGAAGAGTCAGACACGACTAAACGACTAAACAACAACAACAAGAGTAGATGGAGTTAATAATATATATGATGTATTTATCCCATACTGTTTTTTGTTTGTTTTTAGAAAAGCACAATTCTACAGTCTTTGTCAAGCACGTTAATAATTCACTCTTGCAGAGCATCTTTTCTACATCTTCCTCCTCCTCCTTGTCTGGGGAGGTCAGCGGGTTAAAGCCCCCCCCCCTTAACCCCAGAAGTTCTTAATCAGCAGCTTACGATGGGTGCCATGTCGCCCCACGCCAACCCCTCACTTTCATTTTGCAATCGTAAGGGGCTAGGAACTTGGTGGCTTTTCCTCTTTTTTTAATTAGGCGAAAGCTGAGATTTCTGGAATGTGAATTCCAGGTGCATGCGAACCTGTGGAGGCTCCTTCAGAAACACCAGGCTGCAGCGGGACCTTCTGTGAATTGTGCCACAAAAAAACCCCACCCAGATTAATTTTTTTTCACGGTGGCTAGCAGCTCACGGGTGGCTTGCGCAAATGCCTGAGGAGACCGTCTGTAGCAGAACGTACTTGTCATGTGGGGATGTGCATTCCATGGCGCTGCAAGTTCCCCAGGGATGTGAATTCCAGACTCTTTAACAATAGGAAGTGTTGCTGATGGGTGTCTAAAACCTGGGCATGTCTGTCCAAATCTGTGGGTGCTCACATTGCTGGACGCTGCCTCACCAGCCGGGTTGTCGGAAGTGGGGAGGAATTCCACCCCCCCTCCCTCTGCACATTCCCAGCTCATGATAAGGAAGAATCCCCTTTGGCCTGTTGTTCTTGGATGATTTCTAAGTCCTCTTCTCACTCTTATCCTGGTTGTGACTAATCTGCGTGTCAGTTTCCTGAACAACTTCAAGGAGGGATTTCCCCCCCCCCTTAATGACCTGCCATTGCTTAGATTGGCCAAAAAAAAAAGCCGCCTCCCTGTACATTTAAAAACAGGATCATGCTGCTTTAAGCATCCATGGCTTCCTTCATTATCATGGGTCCCATCACAGCACTACATACAGTGGTACCTCAGGTTACATACGCTTCAGGTTACAGACTCCGCTAACCCAGAAATAGTGCTTCAGGTTAAGAAATTTGCTTCAGGATGAGACCAGAAATCATGCTCTGGCGGCGCGGCAGCAGCAGGAGGCCCCATTAGCTAAACTGGTGCTTCAGGTTAAGAACCGTTTCAGGTTAAGAACGGACCTCCGGAACAAATTAAGTACTTAACCCGAGGTACCACTGTAGTTCCTTGCACAGGAGGGTTGACTGTTAAAGCACTGTGAGAATTGCGGCTTCGTTTTGTCTATTTTCTGTACTTTTATCCCACCTTTTTCTCAATGGTGGCGTACATTATTCTCCCCGCACATCCAGTGGTACCTCGAGTTAAGTACTTAATTCGTTCCGGAGGTCCGTACTTAACTTGAAACTGTTCTTAACCTGAAGGACCACTTTAGCTAATGGGGCCTCCCGCTTCTGCCGCGCCTCCGGAGCACAATTTCTGTTCTCATCCTGAAGCAAAGTTCTTAACCTGAAGCACTATTTCTGTGTTAGCGGAGTCTGTAACCTGAAGCATATGTAACCTGAAGCGTATGTAACCCGAGGTAACACTGTAACTTGTTCAGTCCCCACAACAACGCTGCAAGGCAGGTTAGACTGAAAGGACATCTCTTCATGGGCAGCCTCCCAGGGTCTGCATGTCGGAGGAGGGTGGAGCAAGAGGCAAAAGTGGGCAGAGCAACAGATAATAACACCTTAACGCTTTTTGTGGTAGGTTACCTTCCAACCATGGGACGCGGGTGGCGCTGTGGGTTAAACCACAGAGCCTAGGACTTGCCGATCAGAAGGTCGGCGGTTCGAATCCCCGCGACGGGGTGAGCTCCCATTGCTCGGTCCCTGCTCCTGCCAACCTAGCAGTTCGAAAGCACGACAAAGTACAAGTAGATAAATAGGTACCGCTCCGGCGGGAAGGTAAACGGCGTTTCTGTGCGCTGCTCTGGTTCGCCAGAAGCAGCTTAGTCATGCTGGCCACATGACCCGGAAGCTGTACGCCGGCTCCCTCGGCCAGTAAAGCGAGATGAGTGCCGCAACCCGAGAGTCGGTCATGACTGGACCTACTGGTCAGGGGTCCCTTTACGTTTACCTTCCAACCAGGCAAATACCAGAGGTTTGTATGTGTGCCCACAAGCCAGATCCAGAGGGATGGATGCAAGCCCCTATGCTGTGTACACTTCATGCACTTAAATCACATGGCTTCCTCCCGAAGAGTCCTGGGAGCTGTAGTTTTATCCCTAGCAGAGCGGCACTTCCCAGCATTCTTAAACTACACTTCCCAAAATTCCTTGGGGCAAGTCATATGCTTTAGATGTAGGGCGTGTGCACAGGCATCCTTTAAACAGTGCTAGCATTTTAAATCCTGTGATGACAAAAGCTCTTTACAAATGGGTGTTTGTTTATTCTCTAGCTTCCTGCCTTTCTAAACTGATGCCCTGCAGGTGACAGAAGCATCCCCTCCCCCCTGCTTCACCTTCGTCCTCCTCATCCAGGTGTTGCACAGCATTTTTTTAAAAAATGTGACCGGACTGGTCAGGGCAGGGCTGCAACCTTACCTAACAATGCCACTTCCTTATTGTATAAAAACAACAACAAAAGACTTCGTGGGTTTGGATGGCACTTTTAAGATGGCTTTATTTATTTTTTTCAGCAGCTGTGGGGAGTTTCCCAGCCTTTCCCCAGAACCCTGAAATCTAGACACTTTATGTATTTATTTGCATTTATATAATCCCGCCTTTTCCTCCAAGGAACCTAAAGTGGAGTACCTGGTTCTCCCCACTTCTCATTTCATTCCCACAACAACCTTGCGAGGTAGGTTGGGGTGAGAGACAGTGAGTGGCCCAAAGTCACTCACTGAGCTTCATAGCCGAGTGGGAATTCGAACCCCGGTCTCCCAGGTGTTTTGTCCAGCACTCTAACTGCTGCCTCACACTGTCTCCTCCTTTTTTAAACTTTTAACAATGGTCACGTTTTTGCTTTAAGCTAGAAAACTTTGCAGTTTGGGGGTCATGTTGTTCATGTGTGTGCCTTCCACCCAGCTTCTGATATTCCATGCCAACGCTTTGGGTGTTGCTAAGGCACAAATTCTGGCCCCAAACCTTTCCGGAACTTGTATTAGTTTCTCCTTGCCATCTCCCCCCCCACCATGGGTGTGTTTTACTTTAATTAATAATAATAATAATAATATGGAAAAGTGTTTGGCAAGATAAAATCACAGATGGGACTTGGTCACTGCCTTGTTAAAGGAAGAAAGTCTAGGGACCATCTGAACTTCTTTTACTTAGCTTAAGGTAAAGGTAAAGGGATCCCTGACCATTAGGTCCAGTCATGACCGACTCTGGGGTTGTGGCACTCATCTAGCTTTATTGGCTGAGGGAGCTGGCGTACAGCTCATGTGGCCAGCATAACTAAGCCGCTTCTGGCGAACCAGAGCAGTGCACAGAAACACCGTTTACCTTCCTGCCAGAGCGGTACCTATTTATCTACTTGCACTTTGACGTGCTTTTGAACTGCTAGGTTGGCAGGAGCAGGGACCAAGCAACGGGAGCTCACCCCGTCATGGGGATTTGAACCGCCGACCTTCTGATCGGCAAGTCCTAGGCTCTGTGGTTTAACCCACAGCGCCACCCACATCCCCTTACTTGGCTTAGAACTCCCCTAAATCAACTCTGTCCTTTTCTGTCTGAAACACACCCTCTAGCTCAGTATTGTCTACACCAACTGGCAGCAGCTCTTGAGGTTTCAGGCAGGGAAGATGCTGGGATTTGAACTCAGGACCTTTTGCATGTTAAGCAAGTGAATGCATCCAATGAAGCTCATGAAAACTCACGCAATAAATAACATTGGGAGCAGTCTTATACTGAATCAGGCCCTTGGTCCATCTAGCTCAGTGTTAGCAACTGACCGGCTGGCAGCAGCTGTCCAGGGTTTCACGCTGGGGTCTCTTCCAGCCCCTCCTGGAGATTCTGTCAGGGATGCAACCTGGGACGTCCTGCATGCAAGGCTGATTTAGTTCCCCAGAGCCACCCCACTTCCCTTCCCCCTGAATGTATTATTTGGTTTTAAGGTGTCACAAGACTTTAACAAGAAGCCAAAAAGCCTGGTTTATCGTTCCTGCGCATGTAGTGTTCTAGCAGCCTCCAATGCTGCAGCACCAAAACATTTTCCGGGCAAACTCCAACCACAGTGCCAAAGTTCTGTGGCCAAGTTGGTTCTGCAAACCGGTTGTTTGTTTGGCTGCGTCTCCAGTCTGGTGTGAGAAGGCAGATACGAATGACATTCCCCAAATGCACTTGGCCAGCTCTGCATCTCAGAGCATACAGTTAAGTTCCCTCTGCACTTAAACCCGTGGCTGTGAATGTGACGCCCACAAGCCTGTTTGGCAACGCCGGTGATCGTTGCTTGCCTGCTGCTGCCTCTCTTATGCAAGCAAGCAGAGTGATGCCAATGGGGAAACCGAGGCCTGCAGTGGCCACTTTCGGTGGACAGTCTTATCAGCTTCCTGGAAAGGGCAGGGTGAGAACAATACTGACCGTGGGTGGCTTTGGGGGTTTCTCCCCACGAGATCCGATAGCTGAGGGCTTGCCTCCCATGCAAAAGGGTCCAGGATGGATCTCACCCGTCTCAGGAAGAGTCGGGTCATTGGCCTGTCTGGCTCAGCGCTGTCCACACTGGCTGGCAGCAGCTCTTTGGAGTTTTGTACGGGAGGGGGGCATTCCCAGCCATGCCTGGAGGTGAGGGGGTGGGGGTGGAACCTGGGACTTTCTGCATGCAAGGCAGGTGTCCTACCACCAAGCTACAACCCTAACCCACCGGTAGTGGGATTTGGCCTTTCATATTTCAGCAGTGCCCTGTGCGAGGCCAAAATGCAGTGCCCCCTGCTTCTCGCTTTCCATTCTGCACATGCGCTACGCCGTAGTGGCGATGCCCTGCAGCGCCCCCCATGGCTTGGCACCAGTGCGGGGGAACCAATTGCACTGCTCTAAATCCACTTTTGCCCCAGCCCACAGTTGGGGGCACTAAAATAGCTGGAGACTCACGTTTGGGAAACACGGCTTTAACCGGAGTTCCTTTGTTTCCCAAGCTCGAGTCTCCAGCTGTTTTTGGACTACAATTCCCATCATCCCTTTCCTGTTAGCTAGGGATGGTGGGAGTTGTAGTCCCAAAACAGCTGTAGACCCAAGTTTGGGAAACACTGTGTTAAAGGAGCAGTAATGGGGACTGGGAACACAGCTTGAAATTCTCCACTAACGCGCGCACACACACACACACACACAGCCTATATATGTATTAATCTTGCAAATTCCAGTTGCATAACACAGTTTTGTCTCGAGGCTGGAGGGAGGGGTGAATTTGCACAATTCTGGTATATGCTAGTAGTCACAGGCTGTTGAAGGATAAGGTCACCAATTGGAATCAGTTTCACTTGGGTCTTCCCATTTGAGGCATCCGGTTGGCCACTGTGAGAACAGGATGCTGTACAACATAGGCCATTAGCCTGATCCAACCTCTTTTTACACTTTGATGGCTAGGTGAGCCTTTGGCCTGATCTCTTAAGGCCCTTCTTGTGTTCTCAGAATGAGCTACACAGGGCACAGGAACCTTTGGTATGGTCCTAAGGGATCAGCACACCTGGATTGTGTCTTGCCTAAAGATGCTCAAGAAACCCTTTCTTTCTGTCCAGTTCTTAATCTGTAAAGAAGCAAATAGACCAAACAGGTGTGCAGTTCTCTTCCTCCCACTGCTTTCTGACTCTTTGTTTGGCTGTTGATGCTGCCTCCCAGGAGAACATGCCCTCCACCCACAAACTCCCTAATATACATGTGCATCTGATTACCCAGATATGCATAATTTTAAGGGATTGCCTGTGATGGATGTGTGTAATTAAGGAGTCCTAAATTAGCCACTGGCAGTAGCAAATTGGCTACAAACCCAGCAGAGTTCAGCCCCACCCATGCTCACCCACTTTACATAATGTGTTGGCATAACCCTGGCATGTGCCACAGTAGCCACAGCTACTGGGTAAAGTGAGCTTAGTCAGAGAGCAGAAGCCTTGGCAAATAATACAAGGGGAGGCCGCCCATTGTACCGCTGTGTGAGTCCCTGTTCTCTGGGCCAAATTTGCTGCAAATTGGAATAAATGCCCACATCCTGGCTTGGTGCTTCGCACTTCCTTCGTCTTGCACACACGCTCCCTGCAGACTTCTGTTCAGCAGTTCTGGTCTGTAGGGTTGAATCCAGTGTTTGCCCTACTCAGAGTAGTCCATTAATTTCAGTGTGCCTACTCTGAATGCAACCCATGGACTGCAAATAGTAAATTCATGAAGGAGGAGGCTGCCCATTGCATCTCTGTACAGGTCCCTGTTTTCTGAACTTGTTCTGTTGCAAATTGCTGCAGAGTATATGCACTGGAGATAAGTAGCTATTCCAGCAGCATGACTTAGCTGGAGGCAACCCACAGACTGCATAGAGTAAATCAATCAAGGGGGAGGCTGCCCATTGCAGCTCTTTGTGAGTCCCTGTTCTGCAGCAAACGGGAAGAAAGGACCCGATAGTGCCTTAAAACCTGGCTGTGAGTGCTTTGCACTTTCTTTGCAGCGCACACAATTTCCTGGGTATCGTGTGAGCTGGCCTTTCCACTTCCAATTCAGAGAGAGCGGCGCTTCGCCACTGCCAGAAGCTTAGGGGAAAACGCTGGTCAAAGAACACAAGTTATGTAACATCCCCAGGGCGATGTTTCCCGACCTCCTTTTTTAAAAAAAGTTCTTAGCAGAGGAAGACGGCCAGAATCTTGCCTTCCCTGTTTACTGGCTAGGTCAGTGGACTGCTACCTCTGCCATCAGCCTTGCTGAGCATGGGTGTGGGTGGGAAGAACAGCTCTGTTTTCTCTCCGGACGGACCCGTGTCAAAAGAGCCATCTTTCACCTTGGCCTGTGTCTGCAGGGCTTGGAAGATGCGTTGCCTGCTTCTGTTTCCTGTGTTGCTAGAGCGTAGAAGGGTTTTTCCACACAGCTTTTATAGTGTTTTCAAGAAGGTCGGCTCGCTGTTTCCCTTTCGCTCTCTCTGCCCGGCTCCAGAGGGCCAGAAGTCGCCAGCTTCTTACTTAATCGGACATTTGCTGCCTTAAACAGGAAGATGGTGGTTCTTGTGGATTTGTTGCTGCTTTGCTAAAGGGGCCGAAAGCTCTAGATTTTGGGATGTTTTGCAGTTAATCTGTGAAGCATAGCCGTAAAGGCACAATTTCTGATTACTGTGTGTCAGGGCTGCCTTGACACTGTGGCATTATGTTCTGACTTCCGTGGTGAGTGGTTCCCCAACCCAAGTCTGCTTTGGAGAATGTGCATGTGAGAGAGAGAGAGGGAGGGTGGGGGGATGATTTTTTCCCAACCAACTTTGGGGATGGGGGTGTCACTTTGTGTGATGTAAAACATTCCCAAAGTTGTGCTTATGTGCATTCCCTCCCCCCACTAGTGGCCTGCAAAGAAACAATTGTGATTTTGCAAAGCTGATTTTGATGCAAGGTACGAGGTGTTTCCTCACCAGGGACTAGAATGCTGGATGGTTTGAAATCAAATTTAAACCACTGTCAAGGCTTGTCCTCGCCACGGACTAGAATGCTGGATGATTTGGGATTTTGCAAGCAGCTGTTCCTGAAGGGGTGTCCTTTCAATTGCAGTTGGCGACCCATTCCCCCTAATGGAGCCACCGCTTTGCTTGAGTCTTACTTCCTGGCTTCTCCTAGAATCCTCATAGCAAATTCCACGTTCAGGATTGAAAATAACACAAGACTGTTATGCGAACCTGTTGTGAGGCCTCACCCGGGATGGCTGTGTCCCCTTCTGGTCGATGCACCTTCTTTTAACAACAACAACAATCTTTATTACGGTCCAGAGACCCAACAAAACATTACAAATCAATACACAGTTCATACAGCCTACCTTTTAAAAAAAAAGGTATTGTACACCTGCCAGTCAGTGCAGACAGTACTGAGCTAGGTGGTCTGACTTGGTATTAAGGCAGCTTCTACGCTTCTATATCATAAGAGAAGGGCTGTAGCTTAATGGTAGAGCATCTGCTTTGCATGCAGAAGGTCCCAGGGTCAATCCCCACCAGCATCACTTGGTGGGCAGTTTGTGAAATTCCCCAGGTGCCATGGGTCCCTGAGGATCATCTAGTCCAACCCTCTGCAATGCAGGGATATGCCGCTGTCCCATACGGGGATGAAACTTGCAACTTTGGTGTTATCAGCACCCTGCTGTAACCAACTGAGCTATGAGGTTTGGAAATCTTTGAAGTGATCCATGAGGACTACTGCCCCTTGCCAAACAAATCTCGCAATCACTCCTCTCCCTGCCCACCCACCCTGCAAAAAAAATATTGGCTGTTAAAGTTTGTATTTGGAAGGGGCTCTCATAACAAGGGACTTTCCTTTTTGAAGTTTCCTGGCTTAGCCTGGGCAGGGTTTTTGTCTGCTGTTTGGACAAGCGTTGCTTAATCCGCTTCATAAGATTCCCGGAACTGTCCCAAAAAGTTCTCATTTCAACAAAGGAAATCTGGGGGAAAGGCTAAAAGTCAAAGTAAGGCCCCACTTTTCCTGGGGCACTCCTCGAAGCCTCTGCGGGCGATGGGCTGGCGACCCCGAATGGGGACCCAATAAAAATAACCTGAATTGAAACTGCTGCCTGGCTCATCTACCCTGGATCCTCCTTTCATTCTTGTGGGGTGTTCCAGGCCCCCAAGAGTATAACAGGATATACTGCAGCACCACTACCTTTAGTAGTCGCAGAAGGGCTTTGACCGAAATTGTGGGTGCCCCATGCGACAAAAAGTAAAACCGTGCCCCTGTAAGAGGCAAGAACAGTGACTCATACTGAGGGGCAACAGGCAGCCACCTCTCCACAGGTAACTTTATGTACAGTATTGGTTGCAATTGATCCAGTGGAGATGGAATTTGCCGTCACTCCATAAGTGAATGCTGATTGGAAAGATGTGCAATATCCAGGAACAGCAATTCGTGCAGAGGTGCAATGGGCAGCCTTGTCAGTCTGATTGTACTTCTTGTTTTTTAAGAAAGATTTAAATGGTTCCTCAGTTGCAGCACACCTAGTAGCGATCAGATTTCTGATTTCTGTGGCTGACTATGTGAGCTTCTCTGTCACCGAGGATTTAGTTCAGGGTGTGTTGGAGAGTTTTGTTGTTGTTGTTGTGGGGGTGGGGTTTGGGGGTTTTTTTGCTTTCAAAGGAAGCATCTCAGCCAGGCTTAACCACCAAAACCAGCTCGGTGGAGCTGCTTCCGTTACTGGGTTGGCAGTGTCGGGGAGGGGAGAGATCATGCTTCTCCCCTTCATCTTGCCAGACTCTTCTGAATCAAGAATGAGTAATGGCTGCTTGCAGGAGAGGCCCTCTCTGTCTCTCTCACCCTTCAAAGATCCTGAAAAGAGAATTTAGCAATACACTGGGCCCTGTGAGCAGCAAGCATCAAAATCAAGCACTGCTGGAACAGAAATCCCTCTCCCAAAGTGCATCCGTAGGGGAGGATGACAAGGGACCAGGCCTTCTTGGTGGTGTCCCCCATGTGTGAAACTCTCTTCCCAGTAAGGTTCAACTGGGTGAACCTGGTTGAACATCTTTTCGCAACGAGGTACATAGTGTGCTGCCAAACCTTTGTAATGCTGTGATGCAGGGTGAGCAGGTGTGGTTGTGTCGTGTCATAGGAAGCTGCCTTATCAGACCGCTGGTCCACCTAGCTCAGTATTGCCAACACTGGCTGGCAGCAGCTCACCTGTGTTTCAAACAGGGGCACTACCTGGAGATGCTGGGGATCAAACCGGGGACCTCTGATGCACTACCACTAAGTTGCAGCCCTTCTTTATGCATTGTGTTATTTTTACACGAGTTTTTGTCAGCTCCTCCTAAATTATGCGCACCGTTTAAAATATGTTGCTAGTCTCTTGGACACCTTGTTGTACAACAAGCAACTGGCAGCTGAAATAAAAGCAATATTGAATGATCCCTAGAGGAGGAGCGATTTGTGACCTTGTGTGTTGCTAAAACACACACCTGGTTGTCTGCGTAAGACTCGTCATCGCCACAAGTGCGCAAGAGCGCCTCCCTGGAGCGCACGTCTGCATTGCTTCCCCTTTTGGCCGAACTGTGCCCAGACCTGGCTCCTTTTGGCAGGGGGTGGCGTGTGCTCAGTTTCCCCTTTAATTAGAGAGCTCTGTCTGAGCTGCTGCCAGCCCAGCTGCTCTGCGGTTACGCCTCTGTCCAAGAGAGAAAGAGGCATCGGAGGTGTCCAATTAGCTGCAGGCCACCTTCCTGTCTTGGCGTGATCTCATTCTTCAGATGTTGCTTTCTGGTTCCCGGAGCTCTGGAGAGGACAAAAGAGGGTGATGATGATGATGAACTGAGGCCTTCTTCTGGAAGCCTGTTGAGCCAGCTTTTGGCTTGTGCAAAATGGAATAGGTAATGCTGCATTTTTCCTGTTTTATTCGCAGTGCCAGGGTGAGTTGTTTCAGGCCCATGGGCCATATCCGGCCCTCCAGCTGTCTTTTTCTCTCCCAGGGCCACACTGCCTTTCTGGCACTGATTTACATCTTGTCCTTGAGTTTGTTTGTTTTTGCCTGAGCTCTGATCATGCCTCTTGCTTGTTTGTACAGTATATGGAAAAGGCTGGGGGGGGGTTAAACTAGATTATTGTGCAAAGGTAGAATCCACATTCTTGCTCCACCCACTTTTGCCTCTGGCCCCACCCACCAATGGGATGTGGCCCTCGGAAGGTTGCCAAAAAAGTAATGTGGCCCTCAGGCTCAAAAATAATCAAATGATCAGCTTTGCCTCTTCTTTATGTTGCTGGTGGTATATACAGTATACCTTTTTCAAGCCAGGGTGCCTATAAAGTGTTTGTGTGTATAATATATATATATATATATATATATATATATATATATATATATATGTATAATTCTGTGTGTGTGCTGGACACAAGGTCTGATTCACTCTCCCTACCATTTTCCCCCCATGCCAAGCGAAATCCTGATCATGAGTAACGGTTATGACTGCACCTGGCAGCCTTTCTGGGAGATTGCCTCATTCCAGGAAATGTTTAAAACATTTTTTTTTCTTAGAAAGCGAGTTCCCACCCTTATTATTATTATTTTTTCAAATGTTTTCGCCATCTCTTCTGCCTCTCCCCCCCCCACACACACCTACCCCCCTCTCTCTCAAAAAAACCCAAAACCCCCACAGTGGACCCGGCTTCTCTGCCATATTACAGAAGATCCCTTGTTATAAAGCAAACTGGAATGTAGATTTTGTGGTACGTGTCTGAGGATGGGTGTGAATGAGGGTGATTCTCCTGAGCCACTGCTGCAAGATGGTCATATCTTGGTGCCTGTCCTCTGCATTTTCCTTAAGGGAATCAGAACTTCTTCACTTAAGAGTTTCACGACTCTTATAGAGTGGCTCCCTTCTGATCTGTCTTGATCTAACGTGGATCATTCTGGAGAAGCAAAACAGGGTGTGTGTATTTTGATTATCTTACCGTGTTTTTCCCCACACAAACTCTTTCCCCCCCCCTTGGATTTCCACTAACATTTTGGGATTCTTTTTGCCAAGCATGGATGGAATGTGAAACTACGAACACTCCGATGTGTTTGTTTTCCTGCTAATTTCCCCATTTTGCTGCTTGTGAATTCTTCCAAGGGGCTACTGGCTGGGATGAAATAATTGTAATATTCACCCAACTTTCCCTGCATTTGCAAAAAAATTAAAAATGAGACCAGTGGTCGAGGGTCCTCCTAGGTGGTCCATTGAAGTTCGTAATCCCACCAGCCTCTGTCCATGTTGTGGTGATGAAATTGGGGTGGGGGGGTATTAGGGATTTGAAAAGCGTTGGTTTTGAAATAGTAAAGCTTTTTATGGCTCCAGACCCTGTTATTATTAACAATAATATTTCATTTATATCAACCCTTTCCTCCAAGGAGCTCAAAGTGGTGCACATAGTTTTTCCTCTTCCATTTTGTCCTCGCAACAACTGTCTGAGGGTAGGCTCTGCTAAGAGACTGGTCCAGGATTATATCAAATGAGTTTCATGGCTGACTAGGGAACTTGAACTCTGGTCTCCCAGGTCCTCGTCCGACACTCTAACCACTGCACCACACTGGCCCACGTAATAAATAAGTAAATAATCTTGGGAGTCTGGGGCAGGGGGAAGAGTGATGGTCAAGCTACCCTAAGGTTGCTAGGCGACACGCAACTCTACTCCCAGGCTTCCCTCAGGCAACAAGGCCCTATGACAATCGGAGTCTTATTTTCAGAATGTGGAACCTCGCCAGCCTTCTGTGTTGAGGAACCGTGATTCAAGTTGCCGGCCTAGAACCCGCCAGGCCTTCTCATAGGATGTCTGTCCCGTGCTTGTTTTTCCTCTACTGTTGTGCCGGCGTCCTTTATCTCCTCCGGCAAGCCAAACGGATTCTGTGGAGCCTCCCATCGCACGGCCTCCCCATGTGTGAAGTTTTAATGTTTAACTCTTCTTCCCCGCTTCTTGTTTTTCTCCTTTCCATCCATTAGGCGATTCTGACGGGATCTCTCGTAGCAACCTGTGAGAGCTTGAATGACACCCGTGCACGGCCAGCGCGATTGATGAGCCTGCTTTGGGTGCCTATTAATAGACGGTAAAGATGGGGCAGAAAGTCACCGGCGGGATAAAGACTGTGGATATGAGGGACCCTGCCTACAGGCCCCTAAAACACGAGCTCCAGGGGCTGGATTACTGCAAGCCGGCTCGCTTGGACCTCCTCCTAGACATGCCCGCCGTCTCCTATGAGATTCAGCTGCTGCACTCATGGAACAACGACGACCGCTCACTCAACGTCTTTGTGAAGGAGGACGACAAGCTCATATTTCACCGGCATCCGGTGGCCCAGAGCACGGACGCCATCCGGGGCAAGGTGGGCTACACGCGGGGTCTCCACGTCTGGCAGATCACCTGGGCGATGAGGCAGCGCGGCACGCATGCGGTGGTCGGCGTGGCCACGGCGGATGCCCCCCTGCACTCGGTGGGGTACACGACACTCATCGGGAACAACCACGAGTCGTGGGGGTGGGACCTCGGGCGGAACCGGCTGTACCACGATGGGAAGAACCAGCCCAGCAAGACGTACCCGGCCTTCTTGGAGGCCGACGAGACTTTCATCGTGCCCGACTCGTTTTTGGTGGTGCTGGACATGGACGATGGGACCTTGAGTTTCATCGTGGACGGACAGTACATGGGGGTTGCTTTCCGGGGACTCAAAGGGAAAAAACTGTATCCGGTCGTGAGCGCCGTGTGGGGCCACTGTGAAATTAGGATGCGCTACTTGAATGGGCTTGACCGTACGTATTCTCTCTCCTTCATTTTTCCTACCTGGACTTGAGAGTCTGAATTGGCTCCTGTGTCTGAGTCACTTTTCTAGGGTTGCCACTTTTCAGTCTTTCCACCTGCTGAGTAATTTTGTCACCTTTCTGCATTAGGTAGCCCTGGGTCGTCTAGTTACTCCCACTTGTAGGCATTTATGCTGCCTTTGGAGCGGGAGGGTGCCTGTTGCATCTCTGAATGATGCATTACTCTGGGCTGGTCTACCTCTAAGCCAGGCGATTGTGTGTGGCTTTTCAGAAGGCAGGTAATTCCCTTCCTCCCTTTCTCCAACACTTTAGAAATTAATCTGTTGAGGGTAAGTAAGCCTCCCATTCTGACTCAGAATTAAAATCAAGAACTTAGGGGACTCCAGGTCTGGAGGTTTTCCACGGAGCTATCCTCCCTGGGTCCTCCATATGTTTCTGTGAATGCATGTATGCTTTTAAGAAAGTGCAACACGCCAGACACTTGTCTGCTTATCTAAATTCCCGTTAAGGGTAAGCGGGGCTTTGTGCTGAGTCACAGCTTTTGAAAATGACTCAGTGAAAAATATCTGGCCTGGTCACCTCTAGTCCTTTTTAGCCTGTCTTCTCCCTGCGGTGTGTGATACCTTCTGTTGTCCGTCTCTGGTTTCTCCCAGCTGCAAACACTTTAGTGGCACATCCTGTGTTTTATTACCCCATGCAGTTTGCAAATGTGTGTGTACTTGGCAGGGAAACCTGCTTCTCAAAACGGAAGTGGGCACAGATTGCAGGAAGCACAGGAGAGGCAGTGTTCCTCGCTTCCTCCTCCCCCCCCCCCCAGCCGCCCCCCCACCCCAGTGGGGACCCCCTTTTAAGTGACGTTTTACAGGGCTATCCCACCATCCTCCTTTGCGCCTGTTGTTCAGAGGAGACATGGCAGGCAGAGGCATCCCAGGAACACCTAAGCGGGCCCCGTTGAAAAGTGGTTAAAAGACCAGCTCACTTCCTTTTGCTAAGTGAAACCCACACAGTTCATTGCTTTAGCGTCTCTTTGTGAAAATGACAGGTAGAACTGAAGTACAGTTCATATGGACTAGGGAACTACCCAGAATGTTCCAAGTGGAGGATGTTTCTGTGATCCCAGAGTACCCAACAGCAGGCGAGGTGGCCCACAGCCTCCCTGCGTGATTACCTGTTCTGGCCTCACTTTGTGTGGATCAGCAACTTCTGGGTTCAAGTGTGGATGCTTCTGCTTGGCACTCTGATTGACGAGTGCCCGACTCATTCAGTAACCCCCGACGCAGAAGTGCAGCATGTAAGACTGCCCATTCCCCCAGAAGAGGCTGCCTGTCGCATCTCTGCATGAGTGGGCATGCCTTGCGCCTGGTCCAGGAGGTGGCGCTCAGAACATTGACAACTGGAATCCAAAGCTACTGGAGGGCCCCAGGTTGGAAGAAACTATGATCACTGGGGCTACCAGTTGCTGGAAACTACAGGAGGGGGTTTGCTCTTGTGCTGGAGTCTCGCTTGCAGCTTTCCATCTGATTGGCCGCTGTGAGAACAGGATGCTGGACTAGACGGGCCATTGGCCTCATCTAGCAGACTCTTCTTACATTCTTGAAGTAAGCTCAATTTTGACAACCAGCAAGGCACTCTCAGGCTCAAGAGCCGTTGTTTCATATGTTGTACATTGCACATTCCTGGTTTTGGTGTCTTCTCCAGAACACCCCCACCCCAGAAATGGGTTTGCCGACACAGCTGGCTTTCAGATGCGAAGTGTACACTTAGCAGCCTGATGGAGCACACGCCCAAAGCTTCCCCTGCCTTCTCAAGCCCAGATCTTATTGCCATCTCTTAAGAAACAAAACTGGATCCTTCTTCACGTGGCGCAAAGTTAAACTGTGGAACTCACTCCCACTGGAGGCAATGACTGCCACCAGCTTGGATGGCTTTGTAAAAAAAGATAATGCCACTTAGGCCTTTCTTTCTCTAGCCAGCAAGGGCTTTTAAAAAGAAATAAAATGTAAGTACAGTGGTACCTCAGGTTAAGTACTTAATTTGTTCCGGAGGTCCGTACTTAACCTGAAACTGTTCTTAACCTGAAGCACCACTTTAGCTAATGAGGCCTCCTGCTGCTGCCGCGCTGCCAGAGCACAATTTCTGTTTTCATCCTGAAGCAAAGTTCTTAACCCGAAGCAATATTTCTGGGTTAGTGGAGTCTGTAACCTGAAGCGTATGTAACCTGAGGTACCACTGTATTGGAAGAGAAAGTAGTCCATATTCTGCACTAAGAGAACCTGGTTTTTGTGGGGGAAACCTTCTCTTTGTAACCCAGTTTGCTTAAGTCTGAGTTGTTTGTGCAGAGTCTCTTTCTGACTATGAGGAGCTGCCCCAGGCCTAAACTTGGCGCTGAATTCCTGCCCCTGGAAATTCTACTTACTGACCTGACTCCCAGTATTGCGCCAGCAACTCTCTGCAGCCTTCAGGGCTAGTAAGTTGTTTCTCTTCTTCCATGAAGTTGAGGTTATCAGGATGGCCTGTTCTGCAGTTGACTAGAATTGCAACACTGGCCTTCTTGGCCAGAGGCAGCTGCTTGGGGGGTGGGGACGTGTATGGCTGGATCTAGCTGGATCTATTTCATTTGCCTGCAGGTTACATCGCCGTAGCCTTAAGACTGAAGGATTCTCCTGCCGTGGGGGCTTCTTGGCAAAATAACATTCAAGCTACAGGTTTGGCAGGTCATGGCTGTCACAGACCCTTTTAACATTTGGTTGTATCAAGGCCTATGCAACACTTGAGCATTACCTGTTTTTGCTCTGTGTCTTCCAAACTGAGAGGCTCCGTGTGGCGGTTTGTTGTACACCAATAGTTATGCAGTAGAAGTGGCCATGCAGTCAGCACACAAGTGTGTTTTGAGTTACGCTTGCATCAATCTGCAAGCAGAAATTAGGAACCTCTTGTGGAGGTGTGGGCTGTTTCTTTTCAAAACCTAGAGCAACCTTTGCCAACCTGGTTGGTCCTACAAAGGAGAGGAACTCAAGACCCATTCAGAGGGCCCTCTGACTGGCTGGATGGTAGAGCATCTGTTTTGAATGCAGAAGGTCTAGTCCGCAATGACATCTCCAAGTAGGGCTGGAAGAGACTCCCTGTCTGAAATCCTAGGGCAGGCATAGGCAGACTTGGCCCTCCAGATGTTTTGGGACTACAACTCCCATCATCCCTAACTAACAGGACCAGTGGTCAGGGATGATGGGAACTGTAGTCTCAAAATAGCTGGAGGGCCACTTGGTCCTCCAGCTGTTTTGGGACTACAACTCCCATCATCCTTAGCTAGCAGTAGTCAGGGATGATGGGAATTGTAGTCCAAAAACAGCTGGAGGGCCAAGTTTGGGAAACCCTGGTGTAAACAGCACTGATCTCAATAATCTGGACAAGGAACACCGAGCTGAGCTTTCCAACTTCCCTGGTGGAAGCAGAATGCACTTGGACTTCACCAGTGACTTCGCGTTCCAGAAGTTTGAAGTTATATTTCTCTCTTCCTCTGCCTGCTGCCCCCGCCCCCAGTTTTCCAAGCCAGCCGGCGGTCTTCCTTGTGATCAAGGCTCACGTCTTCAACTACCTCAGTGGAAAATGTGTCTGGGGAGGAAATTGCAGCTGGAAGTAAGTCACCGCGCTGAGGCTCTACCCAAACAAAAAGGGAGTTTTTGTTGCCCATATCTGTGACGTCGGCTCTGCGCGGGGGGCCTGTGCAGGTGTCCTGCCTGCAGAGTCGGTCAGCGAGCAGGGTGGGGCTCCTTTTCAGGAAATCTTAAGTCAACAAAATGCAAATTTCCTCAGATCCTTGCCAGGAGAGAAAGATGCTACCTGGATTGAGATTGGCCAGTGCTCCCAGCTGGGAAGATGTGTCGCAAAGTTGTGGGATGTTTTTCCAGGGCCTGTCTTGAGAAGGGCAGTAGCTCCGTGGCGGTGTTTGCCTTGCATGCAGAAGTCCACAGCAGCATTACCAGGTAGTGCCGGCTGCGAATGCCTCTTCTCTGAAAACCCTGGAAAGCCACTGCCAGTCAGTGTAGACGGTACTGAGCTAGATGGATCAACTATCTGATTCAGAATAAGGCAGTTTCCTATGTTGCAAGGAAATGGCCCTAGCTCAGTGGTAGAGCACCTGCTTTGCATCCTGGTGGTTCAGTCCCCACTGTCTCCAGGTAGAACTGACAAAGAACCCTGTCTGAAAACCCTGCCAGTCAGTGTAGACACAGCTTGGCTAGATGGACCCAATGGTCTGACTCAGTTTAAAGCAGTCTCCTGTGAGATCCTGAGTAGTTTTATTTATCTTCTTATTTATAACAATACTTATAATATGTACTGCAATTTCTTTAGAAAAATCAAAACAGTATAGACACACACTCATACAACCAAAATTAATTAGCCAGCTAAGAGTTCTTCTAAGGGACATGGGTGGCGCTGTGGGTTAAACCCCAGAACCTAGGACTTGCCAATCAGAAGGTTGGCAGTTCGAATCCCCGCAATGGGGTGTGCTCCCATTGCTCGGTCCCTGCTCCTGCCAACCTAGCAGTTCAAAAGCACATCAAAGTGCAAGTAGATCAATAGGTACCGCTCCGGTAGGAAGGTAATCGGTGTTTCCGTGCGTTGCTCTGGTTCGCCAGAAGTGACTTAGTTATGCTGGCCACATGACCCGGAAGCTGTACGCCGGCTCCCTCGGCCAATAAAGCGAGATGAGCTCCGCAACCCCAGAGTCGGTCACGACTGGACCTAATGGTCAGGGGTCCCTTTACCTTTACCTTAAGTGTTCTTTTAAAAGTTTTTTCATTAGTTGTTTGTTTGCATAAGAAGAGTTTTCAGCCATCTAAGGCTGAAAACCCAGGCTGGTGTCCCTCCAAATATTGATGATCTCCCATCATCCCTGACCATTGAGCATGCTGGCCGAGACTGATGGGAGTCGGAGTCCAACCGCACCTGGAAGTGTACCATATTGGCTACCTCTGGTGTAAAAGTTGCTGAGGGCACCTGTTCCATCTCTGTGAGAAGACTCTGCAACACTGGACGAATGACACCAGAGGCTTTGCTTCATGCTGAACTGAACGTGCAAGTGATTTTGAAGACCGAGCTTGGGGTATCAGTGTTTATGAAGGCCAGGGCTGTTAGTTAGAACAAGATCTGGCAGGAAGTATCTTTTCATTCAAGAGAGATTGAGCCAGGCTAGTGGAAGGCAGATGTGGCAAAACCTGGGGCCTATGTATGCGCTCCACATCCACAGGAGCGCCATTGTGTACGGTGTTGGGTGCAGAAGCGTGGACGTGGTTTTCTTAAACTGCTGTATCTTGGCTGGGTTCTTTTAAAAAACAAAACAGATTTGTCTGAAGTTTGGACAACTTCTGGCATGCAGTGTGTGGGGTGCTCCGTGCCAGATTTCAGACTGCTTGAAGAAATCCTCTTCATTTTATTAACATTTGGAGAACATTATTGTCGTGGAATGTTTGTAAGAGACAGGCGCGCACAGTGTGTCTGTATTAAACAAGACATGTAGTCCTGTACCGAGGCTCTAACGGAGCTGTGTTTGTAGAACTATAGCTGTACCTCGGGTTAAATACGCTTCAGGTTACAGACTCCACTAACCCAGAAATAGTGCTTCAGGTTAAGAACTTTGCTTCAGGATGAGAACAGAAATTGTGCTCCGGCGGCACGGCAGCAGCAGGAGGCCCCATTAGGTAAAGTGGTGCTTTAGGTTAAGAACAGTTTTAGGTTAAGAACGGACCTCCGGAACGAATTAAGTACTTAACCCGAGGTACCACTGTAGATCAGTACTGCTGCTTATGACAATAATTGTAGTTGAAGAGTGCTGGGAACTGCACCTCTGTGAAGGTTGAACTACGGTTCCCAGGATTCTTATTGAGGAAGACATGTGCTTTAAATGGATGGTGTGCAGGCAGCCCTGGATTCTATACTGATAAACATCCTCTTTCAGTCTTTTGCATGCTGCAAAGGGGTGCTTTGTACTGTACATTCTTAATTCTTAGCACTGAAGTTAATGCTCTTTGGCTCTCTTTTTTCCCCTCTCCTGCAGCTGAACCTCTGCCTCTGATGGACCTTTGCCGGCGCTCCGTCCGCCTTGCCCTGGGCAAGGACCGCTTGAACGAGATCCACGCACTGCCACTGCCAGAATCCCTGAAGAGCTACCTTCTCTATCAATGACCCCCTCGTTTTGAGGCGGGATGGACAGACACTCTCGCGAGAAGCAAAAGAGAGAGATCGATTGAGTGGACTACAGTATTCTTGGATATTATATCTATATATATATAGACATACATCAAACTTTCACTCTCCTAATCTGCTTCAGTCGATCCCAGCTTGGATCCAGTCCCTCTCCCCATGCCAAATTAGGGGGTCGGGGAGAGAAACCTACAATACATGCCTTTCGAAGAGCCCAACCTACTTAAAAGCCATGTTCTGCCCTCCAGAGATCTCTGTTGCAAGAAGTCGACATGATGGAATTAAAGGTACCAGGTGCTCAGATGGGGGTACAAGATGGTTTGCCACGGACCTGAGGATTTGATTTTTTTTATTTAAAAAAACCTGCCCAGCAACGCTTCAAGGAGAAGATGATGACACCAAAAATATTGCTCCGTGCGGACGTTGTTTTTAAACGATACTGGAATAGGCAGCCGTTGTGGGTGTCAAAGAAATGTCTTATGCCCTGTATGCGAATCCTGCTCCTCTTTAATTTTGATTCTGTGTTGGCCTCTGCCTTCAGACCACTCAAATTGCTTGCCTTTCTTTTCTTTTTTCTGGGAATTCACTTGAACCTGTAGCCTGGGAGTTGGAGATATGGGGGGTTACCATGGGATGAAGCTCCAGTAGCTCAGGGTTGGAGACCCTGTGGGTCATCTGGATGTTGTTGTGCTACAGCTCCCATCATGCCTGACCACTGGCCTCAGTGACTGGAGCTGATGGGCGTTGGGAGTCAACCATCATCTGCAGGGCCACTGGTTCCCCATACCTGCTTGTGAAACAGCTAGAGAGCCCACCTTGGGTTAGGATGTGGTTGTGAGTGATGAAGTCTCAAGAATTTGCTCTCCTAGACTGGCTTTGCCTTGAGTTCCTTGGCAATACTCCCATCAGCTCCCCCTCTTTAGCCAAGTCTTGGTTTTAGTTTAGTTGACCTGTGAAATGGGTTTAAAATAGGCATGGAGTTGTCATCCAGCAGCATCTGAAGGACCGCAGTTTAGCCACCCCTGATTTAAAATCCTGGTGATGCCTGGGTTTATCTCCTGCTTTCTTAAGCCAGCTCTCTTTCCCATCACAGTATGTTGGTCACAACCATTGGCGTTCCAGTCCTGTTGGTGGGATATGGAGAAAGATTTGGCCAAGCCAGTGACTATAGTTTTCTTTGTAGTGTCTGCTCCTATCAGATTTTATTTTTTCGTCAAAAGAGAATTCTCCATCTTGGCCTTACCCTGTCCCTGAACACAGCTATCTTGTCAGGCTACATTCTTACTGTGCATTTAAAGCACAATGCTACCATGTTTAACAGTCATAGCTCTCCCATCAAAGAATTCTGGGAGCTGTGGTTTGTTCAGGGGGCTGAGAGTTGTTGGAAGACCTGCCCACCTCATTCCTGTTAGAGCTAAAATCCCCAGAGTTCCTTGTGAAGGAAGGAATGATGGTTAATTCATACTGGGAGAGAAATAGGGGTCTTCTAACAACTTGCAGCACCCTCAATAAACTACAGTTCCCAAAATTCTGGTGGGGGACAGCGGAAGCCGTGACTGTTGAAAGTCGTATCCTAGTGGTCAAAGTGGATGTTTTGAATGTGGCCCTAGAGTACCAGCTATGGATTGACCTTAGCACAGAAAGAGAGCTGAATCTTGTTGAGAGAAAACATGCCCCAGTTTGGTGCAGGGCAGGAAGTGTCAATGTGAACACTACAGTCCTTGAAGACTCAAGAGTACATCCTTCGTATGCAAGGCACACAAGGTTTTCATCTAGAAGAGCAAATGTTCTCCTTTATCCGAGCAACCTGAAAGCCTTCCCCAAAAAGCTTCTGAACTGCCATCACAGAGGGGTTTATTTGCACAATTTTTTTTCCATTATGGGGGAGGAAAATAAATCTGCCTCTCACTTTCCCACCCTCACCATACTTGTGTCAGGTGTGTTCTGTAGAGGTACAAATGAGCTTATTTGTTAGAAAATGTTAATATATTTTTGTGGGCGGGTGTTCCCCCCTTTGTATAGAAGAGGACTGTTTGGGGGTTTTTTGTTTGTTTGTTTTTTAAAGAAATGCTGCTGTAGGGTTTTTTAAAAATGAAAATAGCCTAGTTTTTAAGAAGCACAGAACTGGTGCCAAGTTTGGATTTGGGAGGAGACCTTGACGTGCCTCCCTTTTTAAAGTCAACTGTTATAAGTGGGACACTTTTTCAAATTGCACAGAGGATTTTAATGTGTACAGAGCCAAGGATTTTTAAACCAATCCTAATTGTGTCTTTTCCACTGACACTGGGAATTGTCCTCGTCACCTCTTTGGTGTTTTTTTTCCTTTTCATTTCTCCCGTTTTTGTTTCTCTCTAGTCTTCTACCACCCTTCCCATCTCCTCTTTATACCTCTTGGTGTATTTGGCTTGTACGGTTTTTAAATCTCTCACTAGTCCCACCCACTCCGTCCCCCATTGACTGTAGATAATCAATAACCAAATTTAAAAATAAAAATTTATTAAATATTGAGACAGTAGCAGTTGTCATTTCAAACGGGCTCCACAAATTAAGGGGAGTTTTCTGTGTGTTCTGCGATCCTGCAGTGGGGAAGGAAAAATGCATATTGTGACCTCTGGACTGACTGAATTGAATGGATTGAATGAATGAATTTTGCATTCCACCTTTCCTCCACAAAGAACCTAGAGTGGCCAACAGATACACAATTTAAACAAAAGCAAAGCAAAAACATTCAAAATCAAATAAGAATATTCTAAAAACCAGTAAAGGTAAAGGGACCCCTGACCGTTAGGTCCAGTCGTCTCGCTTTATTGGCCGAGGGAGCCGGCGTACAGCTCATGTGGCCAGCATAACTAAGCCGCTTCTGGTGAACCAGAGCAGCGCACGGAAACGCCGTTTACCTTCCCGCCGGAACGGTACCTATTTACCTACTTGCACTTTGACGTGCTTTCGAACTGCTAGGTTGGCAGGAGCAGGGACCGAGCAACGGGAGCTCACCCCGTCGCAGGGATTCGAACCACCGACCTTCTGATCGGCAAGTCCTAGGCCCTGTGGTTTAACCCATAGCGCCACCCGCGTCCCATTACAATTTTTAAAAGCCGAAAAGCAGATACAGGCCATTCTTCCATCCAGTGAACTCAAGGTTGCCGGCATCAGTTCTTCAGCCACCAAATGCCTGGGGAAACAGGAATGTTTCCGAATTCCTCCTGAAAGCTGGTAAGGATAATGATGGAGGTATAGGCATACCTTCCTAGGGAGGGCATTCCACAACCAGGGAACCACCACTGAAATGGCCTGAGAACTCAGAAGTTTGGAAACTCTCTGTAAAAAGGGTTGTATCCAATGCTAATCCTCCTCAGAGCAGACTCGTTAAATTAACTAACATGAGAGCCAGTGTCTTGTAACAGGGTGATGGAAAATGAGCTGCGAGACCAGGGTTCTAAAGCCTCCACACCCATGAACTTCACTGGGTGACATTGGGCCAGTTCACGATCTTTCAGCCTAAACTACCTCTTAGGGTTGTTGTGAAGATAAAACAGGGAGGAGAGGAACATGTGTCCCATTTTGACCTTCTTGGAGGAAAAAGTAGTGTAGAAATGAAATAAAAAGGGGTTCATTTGAATAGGTCTGCTCTAAAACTTAGTTGAATAATAAAATGCATGCAATAATTATAGCAAAAAGGTGAGCCTCAAAATGGTACCAGCAAACAGTGGGGACTTTGTTTTTATTTTTTAAAAGCCACCAAAGTGCCCTAATTTGGCAATTGATGATTGTATTAAAAATTCCCTACATATTCCAGTGTTACCTTGCGGCTTGTCTGCATTGGTCTTTTTTTTTTAAAAAAAAAGAGCTCTAGGAAACCGCACAAAAAAAGTATTGCAAAGCTTGCATATTTAAGCTTTGCAGGTGGTATCAATCAGACGCGGTTCCTGTTGGAGCAGGTACCTTGGAAGGGGATAAATAATTTTTCTTTCAAAAAAAGAAACCCACCATCTCGGACCATATGTGGGCAAAAAAATCAGCTCCTGCATCCATTCCATTCTCCTTCACGGCTGCTGCTGGAATGCGGGTTTTGCTAGGCCATAAACCGCCTCAGGAGAAAAGTTTTTAAAAAAATAAAAAATATTATTATTATTTTGGGGTGGGGGGAAGTCGAAGAGAGAAAGGAGAATATTTTGTCCGTGCTGGCTTCCAGACACCCAAACAGCCAGCTGTAGCCAGCAGCTGAAATAAATGACCTCCTTGCAGTTTGGTGTTTATGTACGTCGCCATGGCAACCCTGCAGACCTGTCATGGGGACTGCGCAGCCTGGCCTGATGCTCTCGCAAAAGGGCTGTTGCGTATTAGCTAGGCCGGATGGATCTGCCAGCGGGGATATATGTGTGTGTGTGTGTACATGAATATCCTTGCAACGCCTCATGAGCTTGAAACATGACAAGGCAGGCATGAATTATGGGTCTCCTGATGGGCTGAGTCTCCCCCCGCCTTTTCCTCTCTTCTCTCTCTCCCCCCCCCCCCCATTTATGTGGTGTTCAATACTTTCCCCGTAGTCATGTGCATGGAATTTACCCTTGGCAGCGTTCTCCTTCCTTTCTGTCAGTTGATGCACTTAAGTTCAAGGGGCCTGGCTGCAGGGATGGGTGGGCGAATCCCTCTTCGATCCTTTCGCTAGGGTTACTAGGTGAGTGTGGCGATCACACAGGGTCCCCGGACATTTCACCGCCTATTGATCCCTGTGCCACCACTTTATTTCTCGCTGCCGCCACCCAGGCCCTACCTGGTACAATACTGAGTCCAGTCAGGGTTGAATTGGAACATGAACTTTTGTTTATTTATTGCAGTTTAACAACTGTGTGGTTTCATAAACGGTATCGGTCAATTACAATCATGGGGTGCCTATCCAGACCTATAACTTCCACTACCTGCTCTCACTCACTAAACCACCTCTCAGATATTTACAGTGGTACCTCGGGTTACATACGCTTCAGGTTACATACGCTTCAGATTACAGACTCCGCTAACCCAGAAATAGTACCTCGGGTTAAGAACTTTGCTTCAAGATGAGAACAGAAATCGTGCTCCGGCGGCGCGGCGGCAGCGGGAGGCCCCATTAGCTAAAGTGGTGCTTCAGGTTAAGAACAGTTTGAGGTTAAGAACGGACCTCTGGAACGAATTAAGTACTTAACCCGAGGTACCACTGTACTTGTCTTCCTAGCCCCTAACTGTTCCTGACTCAGCTTATTTCGCTACACTAACTCAACCTACCCACAGACTCTATCCCAATTCACTCCCACTCCAACCAACCACCCAACTCCCAACGAACTCCCCTTTCGCCCCTCCCAGAGCTGGTTTTATAGTCCCTCTGACTCCACCCCCTGGGTTCTGATTGGGTAACTTGTTTAACTAATTCACCTCCAGCACTCTCATATGTTAACGTCACAAGGAGCATCCCAGACTCTGAGATTTCGGGGCCCAAACTGGAAACCCTAGTTGCATAGGCGACTTAACTGTTCAATTATGTAACTTGAAGATTATGGGTAACACTGTGGTTAGGGGGAGGTATCCAGTCAGCTGCATTAGAATTCTTTAAAACGTCTTCATTGCTGATTGTGCTGGAGATCAGAAAGCCAATATTAGTTCAACCTAGCCAATCTTCCCCTTCTGATAACTGTTTGTTTGTATTGGCCCCAAGTGTGGATGTGTTGCCCTGCAACAGATTGCCTGCTTATCAAGGGCAAACAAATTATTACACCACCAGAATAAAAAAAGATAATAAAATAGGGAGGGAGGGTCAGGTTAAGGAACAGGTGGAGAGGGGGCTTCGATGTGACCTTTTACTCTTTTTGCATCGCAAGCTCGCACTACTGTGAAGTTTTCACATTTTATTCAGTGAGATATAGCAGGGTTGGGGGATCTCGGGTCTGTAGACCCAGTGTGGCCCATTAAACCATTTTCTCTCCCAACCACACCTGTTAATTAGCTGACATCATCATTGGACTTATTCCAGGTCAACTTTGACAGGTGGGTGAGGCCGCCTGCCTACCAGTCACCTGACTTTGCCATTATGTCAGATGATTGACAGGTGTCTGACACTGACCACCTGTCAAAGTTGACCGGGGAGGGGGAGATAAAGATTTGGCCCACCAGGCCACAAGTGTTTCCCACCCCTGCACTAACACACAACCCTCATTTAAACAAAGGCAGCTAGTAGTGTTTATGATCCTTCAGGCTCTTATCAACCATAGCCCCAGTCCTATGTAATTTATCTCTAAAGTCAAAGTACATACCGTGGTACCTTGGTACTCAAACAGCTTGGCTCCTGAACAAATCGGCTCCCGAATGCCGCAAACCCGGCAGTGAGTGCTCTGGTTTGCGAACGTTTTTTGGAAGCCAAACGTCTAATGTGGCTTCAGTGGCTTCCGATTGAGGGCAGGAAGCTGCCGCAGCCAATCGGAAGCCGCACCATGGTTTTCGAATGGTTTCAGGAGTCAAACGGACGCCAGGAACGGATAAAGTTCGAGAAGCAAGGTACCACTATATTCAGAATTACCACTTGCTACAGATACTTCAGAATGGTATCGTTTTGGAGTGCCAGTGGAGCATGGATTTGAAACTCCCCGATCGTTGGAAACCTAGCACCTCAGGAAGTTGGGTGCTAGGCTGGTCTTCTCCCTACGAAGCTGGTTATGTAGGGGCAGGACAAAATTACACAAGAAGCAATTTCTGAATTGTGGAAATAGGAAAGAGTCTAGGAATACTTTTTGGTGGAGTCTTTCTGGATGCTGTTATGATGAACAATGAGATGAGTAGATCAGGATTTGGAAGAGCCGATTCACAGAAAAAGTGCAGAGAGGATTGACGATCTACTTAGAGTGGGGATTGATTTATTATCTATTTTCTTACATTCTTACCCTGCCCTTCTTCCACTGTGTAGGGAGATGGGGAAGAAGAAATTGCCCCATCTACGGCGGTTGAGTTTTGGACCTGTCCATGCTCCCATTTTGATTTACAATCCTCTCGCTGCCTGGGACGCCCTTCAGACAGAGAACTATTTGAAGCCGCAGCCAACTGTTTTGTCTGACTTGTGTGTTTTACAGCTTGCTTACTGTTTAGTAAAAAGGGGGGGGGGAACCATGCACACATTTTTAAAACAAAAAAACACAACCCTCTCCTCAAGCTTTGGAATTCCTGGTGCCTTGGCTCAGAGTGTTCCTGTTTCCCTCGCCTGCTCTTTCCCGGTAATGTTGCAAGTCACACTGTAATCTTTTGAACGGAACAGCTTGCTAAAGATCAGCAAGTTCAGGGATGGTTTGGAGGAATCTGTCCCTGACTTGTGTTGGGGGTCCTCTTCTGCAAAGCGGTCCGATAGCAGCGCAGTGTGTGTCATTATGACAAAAATGAAGGTGAAAGACACATTTGCACCATACATTCAAAGCTCTAGGGTGCCACTTTGAACAGTCATGGGAGCTGTAGTTTGTTAAGAGTGCTAAGGAGGCTCCTATTCCCCTCAC